ACCTCCCCCACAACTGGTAAAATTTTTTGAATAATTATGAGTCTTATAAAATGCGAAATAATCATTCAATTCTCTTCAAATTTCTCACATCCCAATATTTCTACCAACACAACATCGGTTCTGAAAATGGTAGGTATGGGTCCACTCCTTCTTGTACCTCCCCCACAGCGGGTAAAATTTTTTTAAAAATTATAGGTCTCATAGAATGCGAAATAAGCATCCGATTATCTTCAAATTTCCTATATTCCAATATTTTTACTCATACAAGATTTGGTGTGAAGATGGTAGATATCGGCCCACTCCTTCTGGTACCTCCCCCACAAAGCGGTCAAAATTTTGATTTTTTCATGAAGCTCATTAAGCGCGAAATTAACATCCGATTAAATTCAGACTTGGCACATCTCAATATTTCCATCAACGCAAGATGTGTTATAAATATGGTACAGATCGGACCATTCCTTCTGGTACCTCCCCCACAAAGGATCAAAGTTTTAAATAACCAAAACTATCATAAAATCCGAAATAAGCATCCGATTCTCTTCATATTTCGCACATCCCATTGTTTCTACCAATACAATATCTGCTGTGGAGATGGGATATAACGGTCCACTCATTCTGGTAACCTCCCCACAAAGGGTTAACGTTATAGAAATGGGCAATATTGGTCCATTCTTTCGGAACCTACTTCATAGAGGGTCAATAATTTGAATAATCATAACAGAAGTCAAAATAAATTTAAATAATCGAATATTGACTGAGTACCCTCAGCAAAACGGAGTGATACCTTGTTTTTATTTAAAAAATCCCATTTTCCCCTAAAAACTTGAATTTCCCCTACTTTAAATGTCAATGCAAAAATTTCCTGACATTTCATTCATAAATTCAGCCATTAGACAACACACAGAAGACGACGAAGAAGATGAAGCACAACAAAAACAACTAAAAACTCAAGGTGAAACACACAGTGCGCCGCCACACACACAATTCGAATCCTCCAACTCTCTTCCCCAAAAGAAAACCGCATTCATGCAATCGCCTAATGCAAGCAAGCAACGGCAGCAAACCAAACAACACAAAATAATCCTCCTACTCCCCAATGCACTCCTAACAACCATAATGCAACAACAGCAGCAGCAGCAACAACAACAACATAATGTTATGTGTGTGCAACAAGTATATTTATAGACTGCTTAACCTTAACCCACTTTTTCTTCTCTCAAATGAAAACCAGCTCAATGTCAAAGCAACAACAACAAGAAAAACAATACGCAAAAAAGGAGGTTACAACAAACCAAACATTAATGTCTGGCAGCCAGCCTGCCTGCCTACTCTCACTTATTTTTTCTCTATAAACCACTTCCCCCACCACCCCCTCTCCCACATTTGGCACACAATTGCATTAGATTACGGTTATGCTGTCATACGATGCACATAACAACGACATAAGCAACAACAATAACAGTTGCAACAACAATTTTTCTCACAATGGCTCCCCATGCCTTAACTGTCGCGCTCTCTCCCTCTCTTTCTCACACACTCACTCACTCCTTTTCTATTGCCTACTCTGTGTGTGTGTACATGAGAAGGAATGTGCATCTCCTCCCCAACATCAATAGAGTCAAAGGAATGAGAAGAAATGAGTACCGGTGAAGTACGTACGACGTGTGTGTGTGTCCATGGCTCTGTGTGTAATGTTTTGTTGGAGACCCAATGTCTTGCTCTCCCTCTCCCACTCTCCCCACGTGTGGGTAACATGGAGTATTGGGTTTGCAATTTCCTTGTAATTCAAAAATTGCATTGAAGGTTATTTGAGACAAAAAAAAGAGGAAAAACAAATATCAAATTAATTAGTCCCTGCTGGGTGGCAGAGAGTTTCAAGGTTAATGGGAGAGGATATAGATGTTTCTGGATTGGAAGAAAAAAATGAGGGTTTATGTTTTCATATAAAAAATTCAAGGATCTCAATGGGAAAAAATAATAGATGGCCACTAATAGTTGAACGATATTAGGTCTGTGCCAGAACCTGCAAGTATCTACTAGACTAGCATTTTTTTTTCCATATCATAAAGGAAAAATCGGTTATCGTAGTCAAAATTTTTATATTCTGGCAGTTCTGATACATACCAAATATGCCAAAAATATTTATCGATAAATTTGGTTATTTATCGAATAAAATTATGTTTTACAACGGTGATGTTATCGATGTCAATGAAAGATAAATTTTTCCGATAACGATAATTTAAGTTTTAGATAAAAAGAAAATGATCATCAATTGCAATAAAAATGGTGGAAAGCAAAATTTATCGTTATCGATAATTATCCTCTCAGCAAATTTATCGATCATATTTTATTCAAATTTTCCAATAGAAAACTTATCGCCGGCATTGATGAGAAAATTAGAAAATATTACCGATACTTTTATGCTGTCGTGATACAATTATGCAGTCGATCGATAAATTTGCCAGAGTCAAATATAATCGATAACGACAATTTTGGCAAAAAAAATTCATAATCGATTTAAATCAATTTCCAGTTGCAAGAATTTACAATAAATTCCGAAAAATATATTTTTTATTTATTTCGAAATAGAATATTTTTTGATAGCAATTTTTGGAAAAAATATCGAAACATCGCAAAGTTTATCGTTATCAATAATTTTGCTCTCAGCAAATTTATCGATCAAATTATATTCAAATTTTTCAATAGAAAATTTATCGCCGGCATTGATGAGAAAATTAAAAAATATTATCGATACTGTTATGCTGCCAATCGATAAATATGCCTGAGAGAAATGTTATCGAAATCGACAATTTTGATAAAAAAAATAATTCACAATCGATTTAAATTAATTTCCCAATTTTAGAAAAGTCTTTCAATAAATTCTCAAAAATAAATTTTTCGATTTATTTCGAAATAGAATATTTTTCGATAACAACTTTTTGGAAAAATTATCGAAATATCGCAAAATTTATCGTTATCGATAATTATCCTCACAGCAAATTTATCGATCAAATTATATTTAAATTTTTCAATAGAAAATTTATCGCCGGCAATGATGAGAAAGTTAGAAAATATTATCGATACTGTTATACTGTCGATCGATAAATATGCCTGAGAGAAATATTATCGATAACGACAATTTTGGTAAAAAAAATAATTCATAATCGATTTAAATTAATTTCCAAATTTAGAAGTTTTTCAATAAATTGCCAATAATACATTTATCGATTTATTTCAAAATAGAACATTTTTCGATAGCAATTATTTAAAAAAGTTATCGAAATATCGAAAATTTATCAAAATATCGAAAATTTATCGAAATTTCAAAAATTTATCGAAATATCGAAAAATTATCGAAATATCAAAAATTTATCGAAATATCAAAAATGTATCGAAATGTCGAAAATTTATCGAAATATCGAAAATTTATCGAAATATCGAAAATTTATCGAAATATCGAAAATTTATCGAATTATCGAAAATTTATCGAAATAGAAAATTAATCGATAGTAATAAATTGGGTTACAAAATATCGATAAAATGTGTGTTTTAGCAGCTTACATGGGCTCTCTTACAATTCTATAACTGTTATAAACATGTTTAACTGTTATACGTCTAATAACTGTTATACACTTGCATAAGTATTGAAAAATTTTATAATGTTATACAATTACCATTGATTGTCACTGATTTTATAACTGTTATACAGTGTCGTACATTATTATTATAACTTTTATACACATGTATAACAATTGTACACTAGTAAAACTGTGGTGTACAGCTGTTTTACAATAGTATACGTGTTATAAGGTACTGTTATACACTTTACAAAACTGTTATACAAGTGTATAATAATTTTTCGAAGAGTATAACAGTTTCACAAAGAGTATAAAAAAAGTGTATAACACTTATACTAGTGCATATCAGCTGGTGCATTACAATTTTACTAGCGTAAAACTGTTATACAAGTGTATAACTGTTATAAATATAACTGTTATACACATTAATAATTTCTATAAACCTTTATAACGTTTGCAAGAATTTATAAAAAATGGAAAAAATCTATAATTGTTATGCATGCGTAAACTATTTCAACATAGGTATAACAGTTGCAAACTGTTATACTCTTGTATAACATGTCAAAAACAAGTAATAAACTGATCAAAACAACTTAAAGCATGGGACAATAACTTTTGTAGTGTTAAAAACAAGTCCCTCATAACTGTTATAAACTGTTATACACAATTATAAGTGCTACAAAAATCCCAGATGTTATAAATTTTCATAACTGCTATACAGTTTTACAATTGTTATAAAGAAAAAAACTGTTATACACTTGTAGAACTGTTATACACTTGTAGAATGGTTATACCCTTGTATAACAGTTATAAAAATATGTTAATATTATAAAAATTTTAACTGTTGAACGCATGTAAACTCTTATATAAACTGTTATATAAACTGTTATACTCCTGTATAACTGTTATACCCTTGTACAACTGCTATAACCTTGTATAACAGTTATAAAAAGTTGTTAATATTATAAAAATTATAAATGTTAAACGCATATAAACGGTTATACAAACTGTTATACTCCTGTATAACTGTTATACCCCTGTATAACAGTTATAAAAATTTGTAAAAGTTATAAAAATTATAACTAATGAACGCATGTAAACTGTTATACATACTGTTATACTCCTGTATAACTGTTATACACATTTTGCAACTGTTATAAATCAATAATATCTTTAAAGCCAGACATATTTTTAAACAAATATTTTCATGTTCAAGCACTCCAAACTGTTATACAACCAATTTTAATAACCTTAAATCATCTGAAAAAGTAATTTGTTTCAAATTTTTTTCAATTATTTTCGTCGTCCTCCTCCATATTTTTTTTTTTTCTTGGAACAGCAGCTCAACAAAATATTGCCAACATTTGATCCCAAAACTGAAATTTCAAATCAAATTCAAATTTTTTTTCGAATCCAACTTACCCGTTCGATCATTGAAGTCCATGTCGATATATTCATCGGATGAGGACATGGAGTCGTCATCATTGCTGTCGGTGCTAATATTCGATGAATTCAGCAGATGATGTTGTTGTTGTTGCTGATGCTGCTGATGTTGTTGAGAAGTTGTTGGCTGTGATGTTGCTGCCCCGGATGGACTATTGCCAAGCGAGTTTTGAGACTGTGGTTGTTGTTGTTGCTGCTGATCATTGGCTGAAGGTACTGCTGTAGCTGTGACTGAACTGTTGTTGGAGCCCTTAAGGGCTCCTCCAATGCTGGTGGGGCTGCTGCTAATGGTGTTTGGGGCGGCGACGGTTGATGAGGTGGGCGTACAGGAACTGGCGGCTAATTCTTCAATACTGTGCATCTGGGAGCGGCTGGTCGGCTGTGACGGTGGCTGAGTTGGCGGCTGGGTTGGTGTTGTTGTTGGTGTACTATGATTATTGTTGTTGTGATTGTTACTGGCAGTGTGTATGGTATTGTTGTTGTTATCATTCCTAAGAGTGGTGGTGGTGGTTGCTGTTGTTGTTGTTATATGGCTATCATTTGTTAAATGGTTGTTGTTGTTGTTGTTGTTATTGCTACTGGCTGTGGTTGTTGTTGTTGTGGTAGAAATAGCATCCATATTGGCCGTATTAATGCCCCGATGATGATTATGACCCACCATGGCAAAGTCGACATAATTCGTCTCCCCACTGGCCTCATTATTGGCTTCCGAACTGGCATTGGAATTGATCAGGAGACCTCCCGTTGAGGTCATGGCTCCCCCTCCGGGTCCTGGCAAATAGTGACGCGTTGTCGTCTCTGTGGCAGTGTTTTGTACTTCTTGAGCCTTCATTGGTATGTGCGGATGATGGGGATGACCCCCATATGAACCCTGTATGGGTTGCGCCGGTGGAGCTGGCGGTGGCTGTTCTCGGCTGAATAGCATTTGAGCAAATTGTGGCACATTAACGGCCATGCCAGAAGAGCCCACAACTTTGGGCAGGACACCCATTAGATTGGTAGCCTCAATGTTGGTTATGAGCGGTGGTAGACTTTTAAAGTTGCTCTCCACATCTGTGGTGGCATTGCCACCACCCATGAGGGGTGGACTACCACCCACACCGCCACCACCACCTCCTACCCCACCATTGGACGGCGGTCCAAACTTCAAATCGCACAGAGCACCCAGCGAAACGCCCGCATCCAGATTAGCATCTATGGCAACATTGCGATGATCCAACATGGTCGACTGTTGAATGCAGGAGGCAAAGGAGCTATAGTCACTCTTGGCCATGGTCATTTCCGGCTTGGCATGATGATGGGCCGACGATGAGTCATACATAAAGCCCGTGGTGCTGGGAGTGCTACCGGCACCCAACATGTGATCTTTGTGATGATGCATGGTGTTGATGTTGTTGTTTTTATTGTTGATATTGTTGTTGTTGTTGCTGTTGCTGTTGTTATTGTTTAAATTACCATAAGCACTGTCCGCCAAGAGGGCCACGGAAAAATGTTCCATATTATTTTGTAACGAAGCTGCAAGAAAATGAGAGGGAGAGAGAGAGAAATATGTTGTTATATTCGGAGAGAAAAAAATAGTTTAAATTAAAAAAAAAAAAAATTAAAAAAAAAATATTTTTTTTCAGAAAATGAAACGAAAAAAAATTCTGGCATGGGATATTACTTTTCAAATATTTACATGTCAAAGTAACCGAAAATAGGGAAGGTGGGGGCAAATTCCTCCTCCTCATTCTCACTTTTCGAAATTTTCGAATAAAGATTCCTAGGAATCCTTGCATTTTAGGTATATAGCGTCTTTGGCAAAATTGTAGATAACAATACAAGGATTATTTAGGTAGCGATTTTTAACCCTCAAGCGAGCCAACAATGGGGTCTTTTTGGTACTTTTTTGAAAATATTGTTCAAAACTCCAATTGAATGGGGTCGTAGCAGGTCAAAATGGGTTCATAGCAAGTTAAAATATTCTACGAAATTATTCGTCATAAAATTCTACTATGGGTCCCAGAAGACGTCAAGAGGCTAAATCTTACTCAAACGCCAGGAAATCATAAAATATGAAAAACACATTTTAGGGTTAAAACCGCACTTTATGTGAGTCTGAGCCAAAATCTCCAACAAAGCATTGTTTTAGAGGGATTACGACAAAGACAAAAATATTCTCCATCAAATTTTATTATGAGTCCCCAAAGAAAGGAAATCTCTATTTCCATTGGATATCAAAAAAAATATGTCCATCAATGTTACCAAAAAAACCGAAAAATATTTCCAATTTTCCTCACACTTTTTGAAATGTTTAAATAAAGATTCCTAGGAATCCTTGCATTTTAGGTCTACAGGGTCTTTGGCAATATTGTAGATAACAATACAAGGATTATTTGGCTAGACATTTTTAACCCTCAAGCGAGCCAACAAAGGGGTCTTTTTGGTACTTTTTTGGAAATATTGTTCAAAACTCCCTTTGAATGAGGTCGTAGCAGGTCAAAATGGGTTCGTAGCAAGTCAAAATATTCTACGAAATTATTCGTCATAAAATTCAACTATGGGTCCCCGAATACGTCAAGAGTCTAAATCTTACCCAAACGCCAGGAATTCATAAAATATGAAAAACACATTTCAGGGTTAGGGCCGCACTTTGTGTGAGTTTGTGCCAAAATCTCCAACAAAGCATTGTTTTAGAGGGATTACGACAAAGACAAAAATATTCCTCATCAAATTTCACTACAAGTCACCAAAGAAAGGAAATCTCTATTTCCACTGGATACCAAAAAACCGAAAAATATTTCCAATTTCTAAGATTTTTCCTCAGACATTTTGGAAATTTTCGAACTTGGATTCCTTGAAATCCGTGCATTTCAGGTCTATAGGGTCTTTGGCAATATTGTAGATAACAATACAAGGATTATTTGGCTAGACATTTTTAACCCTCAAGCGAGCCAAGAAAGGGGTCTTTTTGGTACATTTTTGAAAATATTGCTCAAAATTCCCTTTGAATGGGGTCGTAGCAGGTCAAAATGGATTCGTAGCAAGTCAAAATATTCTACGAAATTATTCGCCATAAAATTTTACTATGGGTCCCAGAAGACGTCTAAAGGCTAAATCTTAACCAAACGCCAGGAATTCATAAAATATTAAAAACACATTTTAGGGTTAAGGCCGCACTTTGTGTGAATTTGTGCCAAAATCTCCAACAGAACATTGTTTTAGAGGGATTACGACAAAGATAAAAATATTCTACATCAAATTTTACTATGAGTCCCCAAAGAAAGAAAATCTCTATTTCCATGCCATGCCAAAAAATATTTCCATCAATGTTGCGAAAAAATCTCGAAAATATTTCCTTTTTTATTTATTTTTTTTTTTTTTGATATTTTTTTTAATTCATATCACATTTATTGAGCTTTTTACTACTCGCCGAAAAGCTCTTTTATTTGTTGATTACTAGCGAAAAAATCCACATCAATATGGCAACACCATTTCCGCTATTATTTAACGGTTGCACATGCGTTGTGATGACGTAGTCGACACCCCAACCAACCCCTCCCAAAAAATGTTTTATCTAAGCAAAGCTATTCGCCTAAAAGCAAAAGCCACGATATGAGGGAGGTGGAAAAAAAGCTCAACTCTACAAACAAGCCAACATGAATGGGTCGTCGATCGATCGCACAAGGAAGTTGTGTGCGGTTCAAGAACAAAAGCAACCAGCAACAAAAATAACAACAATAGCAATAATAACACAAAAACTTCAATGCGAATATGTGTGGCAAAGAGGAGGAAACAAAAAAAAATGATTAAAAGATACGAAACCGAAAACAAAAAGAATGGGGGGAAAACATGGCAAATGAAAGCGAAATCTAGCTTTTGCTGGCTGTGGGTTTGGTGGAACAGAACGAAAACATAACTTCATACATGTGTGTATATAGGTTTGTGTGTCTGATCAGATCTGCGCCTAAAAGAGAGATTTTGTAGGTATCTCATAGAGAAGAACAACAATTATAAGAGATCAGTTAAGCCTGCTAATCAGTGGAAAGATTTTTGTTGCCAAACTCCATTTGTGGAAGATATATTTTCAGCTAGAATCTGCCATCCCTGTGTGGATTTTTTTCACTTCAAAAAAATCAACAGAGGGAATGGCAGGCAAGCCAATTTGGATTGTAGAACAATTTTTGTTGCAAAACGTCCATCTTTATGAAATATATCTTCGGCATAGAAACTCCCAACCCTGGACGCAAATTTTTCACATTCAAAAAGCCAAGAGAAAAAGGGTAAAGACAAGCCGACTAGGATGGTGAGACAAGTTTGCCATGAAACGCCCATCTTCGGGAAATATATATTTTCTGCATTGCAAACTCCCATCCCTGGGCGAAAATTTTTCACATCCGAAAAATCAACAACAGAAATAGCAGTCAATCCGACTCGTATGGTAGAACAATTTTTGTTGCCAAACTCCCATCCATTTATAGAATATATATTTTCTGTATAAAAACTCCCATCCCTGCGTGCATTTTTTTCACATCGAAACCGTTAACAGAAAAAGACTGCAGTTCAGCCGGTTAAAGGTGGAAGATTTTTTTTTGTCAAACAAACATCAATTTGAAATATACTTATCTGTAGAGTAACTCCCATCCCTGGGTGCAATTTTTTCATATCCAAAACGGCAACAGATAAATAGAGCAGCCAATCCGACTATAGGTGGAACAATTTTTGTTACCAAACTCCCCATTTATGTGAAATATATTTATCTGCCTAAAAACTCCCATCCCTGGGCTGATTTTTTTGGACCGAAAAAAGTGCAGTCGACTAGAGGTTGTTCGGTACATCAATTATTGCTATGAAATTTCCATAAATTTTAAATATATTTTTCTGCATTCAAACTCCCATCCCTGACAACAGTTTTTTCACATCCAAAACATCAACAGAAAAAAGGGCAGTCAAGCCGACATGGCTAATAGAAACATTGTTGTTGTCAAACTCCCCATTTATGTGAAATATACTTATCTGCATTAAAACTCCCATCCCTGGATGCAGTTTTTTCAACCGAAAAAAAAGTGCAGTCCATTAGAGGTTGTTCGGTATATCAATTTATGCTATGGAACTCCCATCTTTTTGAAATATATTTATTTGCAGAGAAACTCCCATCCCTGGGTGCAATTTTTTCACATCCAAAAATCAACAGAAAAAATGGCAATCAAGCCGACAAGGCTGGTAGAAACATTTTTGTTGCCAAACTCCCCATTTTTTTTCAAATATATTTTCCTGCATTGAAACTCCCATCCCTGTCGGACATTTTTTCTACCGAAACAAATGCAGCCCATTAGGGGTTCTTCAGTATATAAATTTTTGCTATGAAACTCCCATCAGATTGAAATATACTTATCTGATTTAAAACTCCCATCTCCGGGTCCAATTTTTTCACATCCAAAAAATTTACGGATAAAGGGTAGTCAAGCCAACATGACTGGTATAAAGAATCGTGTTGTTAAACTCCCATGTATTTGAAATATATTTATCTGTTGAAAAACTCCCATCCCTGGGTAAAAATTTTTCACATCCAAATCAACAGAAGAAAGAGCAGCCAAACCGACATGGCTGGTAGAAAAAAGTTTGTGACCAAACTCCCATGTATTTTATATATAATAATTCGCGGAGAAACTCCCATCCCTGGCAGCAATTTTCACACATTCAAAAAATTAACAGAAAAAATAAAATCAAGCCGATTCGGTTTGTGGAAGAAATTTTGTTGCCAAACTCCCCATTTATGTGAAATATTTTTTCTGTATTAAAACTTCCATCCCTGGGCACAATTTTTCAACCAACCAAAAAAGAGCAGTCCATTAGAGGTTTTCCGGAATATCAATGTTTGCTATTAAACTCCCATCAAATTGATTTTTTTCTGCATTCAAACTCCCAGCCCTGGGTGCAATTTTTTTTCACATCCAAAAAGTCAACAGTTAAGCCCAGCCGACTCAGTTGGTACAACAATTTTTTTTTTGCGAAATATAAATTTTCTGCATTGAAACTCCCATCCCTGGGCGCAATTTTTTCACATCCAAAATGACAACAGAAAAGGAGTGCAGTCAAGCCGGCCGTATTTGGAACAATTTTTTGTTGATCAAACTCCCATTTTTTTTAAAATATATTTATCTGCCTAAAAACTCCCATCCCTGGCGGCAATTTTTTTTCATAGCCCAAAATTTAAAGCCATTTATTTCACTTCATTCATTATTTCACAACACTGTTTGATTTTAGAAAACCCCATCCATGAGATTCTCTTCTCTCTAAAATGGCAATCATTCTCACTCTCTCCCTCTCATTATTTACCCTCTCACGAAATTCAAAAAAAAAAAATCATCCATTTCTCGATCCTCTGTTACAGATGCCGTTCATTTTTGTTTAGATTCCGGAAAAAAAAAACCTTCTCCCATTCCCCCTCTCAAATTTTGTGGTTGCTCTTCTCCTCTCTGGGGGGTCCCGTTGTGAGGGGGACCTCTTTATCGCTCTTTCGTTGTTGCTCACATTATTTGCACTCCATGTACTGCAATTTGCGAATTTTTTATTGTCGGTGTGTGCAGATGTGTGTGAGTGTGTTTGTTTGCCTTCTACGAATTCATAGAATTGAATGAACGCAAATGGAGGAGGGAATGATGACAGAACTTTGTGAGAAGACTTGTGTTTTTGTTATGGCATTTCTCGACTGGTTATTTCATTCTGACATTCGTTGCAACAGTAGTAACCGTACTCAAAGAGCTTTAGAAAAAAAAAAAGCAAAATAAAACAACAAAAATCCGCCTAAGGCATAAGGGGGACGGCCGAGAGTTGGGGAGTAGCATTGAAGACAGGCAGGCCGCCGCCAATACCGCCGTTCATCGGCCGTCTCTATGTTCTGTTCCCACACACACACACACACACCGTACCCCACTCATAGATTCCACAGCAACCGGTAGATACATAGGTATGCAAGTTGTATTTTGGATTCCGCAAGAGAGCTACCCATAATTTTTGTTTCCTTTGTGGGCAGCCAGCCACCAAACCCAGAGTCAGTCACTTCGTTGCATGACTATCTGGTGGCGTAATGACGTCTGTTCGCTTGTGTTGTTAATTTGTTCTGTCTTTTCTTTTTTCAAGAATTTTTTGCTTTTCTGTTTATTTTTCCATAGCATCCAGCCAGCCAGCCAGCCAACTAGCTTAGCTATCGTCGTGCTATGTGCTGGACGAGAAACAAATGTTGATTTTTTTCCTAAAAAAAAGCTAATGCATGTAGGGTTGTGAAACCAGGCGTGCCAATCCATTGTCTACAGGGGGGCCACAAGATAAACACACTGATGTTTGGTATGGGAAGGGAGGCGAGCTTCAACTACAGATTTTTTGGATCTACAATTTTTTGGATTTACAATTTTGGAGGACTACCCTCCAAAAATTGTATTCACTTTGCTATGGTCCCCTTGACTAGATCAGTATGAGGGCTATTCAGAAATTCGAACTTCGAGGTGTACTAAAAGGTATTAAAAATGGAATTGAATAGGTAAAAACTCTGAAATTTGGAATAAGGGTCCCTGAACGGGTTTGTACCCCACACCAAATGGAGAAGGAAGCTAGTTAGACCCCAAAGCTACTTTAGAGGATCTTCATAGAATCACTTTCTGAGTCGATTTATGCATGTCAGTCCGTGCGTCCGCCCGTTCGTCTGTATTTTTGCGAACAAAATGCAGGTCGCATTTATTATCCGATTAAGATGAAATTTTCCACAAATCATTGGTTTGGCCCAAGGACGAGCTCTATTGAAATTGGAGATAATCGGTCAAAATTTAGATATGGCTTCCATATATAACTTCTTCCGATTTGCCTTTTATTGTGCACCAAATGTCTAATATTTGCCCAAATAGGATGGAATTTGGCACATACAACCAAATTAGGCCTGAAAATAAGTATGCCAAATTTGATCGAAATCGGTTCAGATATAGCTACAGCTCCCACATATATTGTTTATCCGATTTGTTATTTTTATCCTCCGAAGCCGTAATATGCCCTCTGTAACAACGATATTTGTGGAAACATATCAAATACAGCTCAGCAATACCTTGGCCACATTTTATCGAGATCGGTTCAGAATAAATTCGAATAATAACAGCACAAAAAATACTAAAATTCCGACGCCGCCAAAGTTTTTTGTCATTTGAGCCCTTTTTATGGCATTTTGCATCACTTTGGTCAAAATTTGCGGCGATAGGTCCTCACATTCGTGACGGATATTGTCTAAAAGAGCTAAAAGAGTCTAAAGGCTTGTTGAAATAAACCAGCGACTTCAAGAAGTCCCAAAAAAACAGTCTATACCGATTAAATCAGGCGATCTTGCTGACCAGTGCCAAGTGCCAAAACGGGAGATTAGGTGCCCGGGAAATGCATCCTTCATATTTTGTTGTGCCAGTCTCTTTGAGGTGAGCGACTAAATGCCGCAGTGTTTCACCAATAGGCGTTGGACGTTCAGGAAATCTGCAACGAAATTCTCGTTGTGCCAAAGTCACCGACCCATTATTTGTCAAATTGTTGTGGGAAATCTGAAAACCTCCCTATAAAGCAATCGAATGACAGAGCGGCTTTCAACAGTCGGCAACAAAATATAGATGACTCGAACTTGGATCTAATACAACTGATGAGCCGCTCTTTTTTTAAATTCTTTTCCAGAGGTGTTTATTTTTACCCCGATTTCGGAATAGTATTTTTTCTTGGAATACCCTAGTATTTCACCCGAAAGTCAGGTCCCAAGCCGATGTAGAACTATGTGTATCATTTGGAGGCTTATTAAAATACCTATCCAATAAGTCAAAAGATGATCGATATTTTAGACCCGGATTTTGGTCGGATTTTTTATAAAAACCCCAAAACGTAGAAAAAGTCTCCTTCATGGGGATACAGAAAGTGATTATCTTTCTCCGATCCAGAGATAATAGCCTAACAATTAAATTTATGAATCAAAGATTCGCAAATTTAATACTTGGGATTTTTTGGGATTTTTTCTTCTGGGTATGTCCAACACCGTCTACGCGAACCAATATTTTTTTTTTCTAAATTTGCTGCATTTTCTAAGTAGCCGGCCTTTGTCCAGTTCTTGAGATTTTCTCCTCTGGATATGACCAAAACTGGGGATACAGAAAATGATTATCTTTCCCCGATCCAGAGATGTTAGCCTAGCAATTAAATTCACTAACCAAAGTTTCGCAAAATTTAATACTTGGGATTTTTTCCAATAAGTATGGCCAACACCGCCTTCTAAATTTCTAAATTTGATACGTTTTTTAAGTAGCCAGACTTTGTCCAGGTCTTAAGATTTTCTCCTCTGGGTGTGACCAAAACCGGCAAAGCGAACTAATTTTTTATGCTAAAAAACATTATTTCAATGATTTGAACATAATAGGGTTGTCAGGGGCCAAAGACCCATACCTCTGGATCCAGAAGAGATAATAATACATATTTTAGCATTTTGGAAAGGATATATTATTTCACATGCATTTTGTGGAGTCCCATATTTTTTACGATTTTTGAGCAGTTTTATAAAAAAAAATCCGGGTCCAAAAAAGAATTTATAATAAATCCCGAGCCATTTTAAATAATCCCCCTCTGATACCCAATGATATTAAAATAAATTTTATGATGGAAAAATACCCCACCCTTACGTGGCGGCATTTCTTATAGGTACACAGAGCCCATGATATTATTTTTCTCCAAATAATTCTCAACATTGTGTCAAAATTCATAATTTACTGCGAAAAAACTCACCTTTCTTTCTTGGCGGTATCCATTCTAGCAAATACGGCAGCCTCTTTTATTTCCTTATTAACGGCATCGTTATGAGAGCGACGAGCCACAGGTTGTACATTGCGGGTTATTTGGTGCAAAACAGCAACAACGATGATGATAATTGGCAAAATGCAAAAAATAATGCGGCGGCGACGAGACAACAAAACGAAGGAATAACACAAAACGGCGGCGGCGGCGGCGACAACGAGGAGTAGATTTATTTTCACACACACACACAGACAAACAAACACAGGAACACTCGCAGTTGCAAACTTTTGATTTTGATTACTGCTCTTCTATGCAAAAAAAAAAGTTCTTTGCAATGGGGGGTTTTTAGTCTCTTTCTCTGAGAGTAGAAATAAATAAGAAACTTTTTGCTATTTACACTCGCCACACACAGCAACCAACACACAACGACACAGAGAGAGAGAGAGACGAAGGAACACGGCACTCGTCGGTATTGTACGGTAATTAAATAATACACTAGTAGTAAGATAGGCAGACAGACGACGACGACGGCGACTCTTGTGTTGTGTGGTTGTTGTTGGTGTTTTTGCCTTGTGTTTATTTTTTGCAAAGAGGAAGAGGCATTCAGTGAGTTGTTTGGTTGGAGAGCAAGAGAGAGGTTGAGATTTATTTTTCATACACTCTTCGTTTAATGAAATAAAAACACATTTATTGTTGGATTTTTGCCGTTTTTTTTGTTTTGCTGTTTTGTTGGTGGAATGAGAACATTGCAAAAATATAGAATAAGACCAAAGACACAATGGCGAATAAAAAACGCACTATTTATTTATTCATTTGCATGCATATGTAGGAATATGGGTATTTCTTGTTGTTGCTGTTGTTGTTTGTCGTTGTCGATTATGGCAAGATATTTGCATACTACAAACTCACACAGAGGCACTCGCCGGAGAAGTATAAAGAATATGATTGCGTTTTTTTAAGATTTTGTTTCTTTTTTTTAATACACACAATTCCATTTGCGTTTTTGTTTTTTTTTTTTAATTGAGAATTTTTATATACACACACATTTTATTTTTGTATAATTTGTAGGCTTTGTTTTGTGGCATATTTCTTTTCGCTCTGCTTTTTGTGTAAAGGTAGAGTGATGGATGGAGGGGGTGGGGGTGAGGGTGTTAAAGATGAGTATCTAAAGAAATCTCAAGAAGCCCCAATCGGCCTGGCCTGTCCGTAGACAATAACCAACATGTTGAGGTGTGTTTCACATGGTTTTTTGTTTTCCTCAACGAAAACGAGCATTTTCTTTTGCTGTCATCATGCGAATGGAAAGGTCAAGAGAAGGGATGGGGGGAGGGGAAATATAAACAGAGGGCTGGGGTAATATACAACTGGTTGTAAGTGTTGAGAATTCCGGGTTTTAATTTTTTTTTTTTTTTTTTGAGGAGGTAAGGGACTGAAGCCTATCAAGACCGGAGGTAATTTTGAGGGAATACTCTATTTTGTATTTTCTGATGTTTGTCAATGTTGTTTATTTATTTAACTAATTATAAACTTTGTTTTTTTAGCGACATTTATTTTACTTTTAGGCAACTACTCGAAAAAAGCCCAAGGAAAATTTGCTCAAAAAATTAGAAAATATTTTCGGTAATTTTTCTTTTCAACATTTATGTAAAGATTTTTTTTTCGATATGCTGTGGAGATGGAGTTTTTTTCTTTTAATTAATAGTAAAATTTAATGAAGAACATTTTTGTCTTTAACGATATCCTTCAAAAACGATGTTTTGTTGGAGATTTTTGCATAAACTCACAACATGCACGGGTTTAACCCTAAAATGTCTCTGGGATATGAATTCCTGGCGTTTAGGTATGATTTAGATTTGTGATGTCCTCTAGAACCTATAGTAGAATTTCATGACAAATCATTTTGTACAAAATTTTATCTTGCTACGATCCCATTATTTTTTTTGCAATATTTTCATTATTTAATTTAATTTTTTAATCGTTTTTATTATTGTTGTTGTAATATGTTTTGGTTTTAATGGTTAAAGGTTTTAAATATTTTTATTTTTTAAAATAGTCTATATATAATATATTTTTATTTTTTAATGTTAGTTTTTCAATATTTTTATTTTTTAATAATATTTTTTTATTATTTTTTTGATTTCAATATTTTTTGTTCTTATTTTTTAAAATAGTATATTTAATAGCTCTTAAGTAACAATAACTATTATTTTTTTTAGCTATTTTTATTTTTTTTTAATATTAATTGTTTTTTTTTTTATATTTTTTTATTTTAATATTTTAATTTTCGATACTTTTTTATTATTTTTCAAAATTATTTTTTTTAGAATTTTTGTTTTTAATAAATTTTTTAAATAGTTAATGTAAGAACTGTTTTAATTTTTTATTTTTTAATATTTTTTAATTCTTTTTTTTAACTTTTTTTTATTTTAATTTTTTAATTTATTAAATAATTTTATTTGTTAATATTATTTAAAATTTTTATTTTTTTTTAAATATTTTTATATTTTTTAATATTTGTATTATTTTTGCAATATTTATTTATATTATATATTTATTTATATTATATAAATATTTTTTAAAAAATATTACTTTTTAATGTTTTTAATATGTTTTTTTAATAGTCTATATTTTACTATTTATGTTTTAACGCATTTATTTTCTTTATTTTTAATATGATTATAGTTTTTAATATTTTTATTTTTTAAATTGCTCTATTTAGCACTAATTTAATTTTTAGATATTTTTTAATATTAAATTTTAATATTTTTACTCCTTTAACAATTTTTAGTTTATTTTTAGTTTTTTTTTTATTTTGTTTAATGTTTATATTTTTTCTATATTTTTATTTTTCAATATTTACATGTTTTCAACAACTTTATTTTTTGAAATAGTCTATGTATGTGTAATTTTACTTTATAGATATTTTTATTTCTTCTAATGTTATTTTTTTTTTAATTTCTAACTTTTGAAATATTTTTTTTTTATTTTATTAATTTTTTAATTTTTTAATATTTTTTTTTTGTTTTTAAAAGTATAATTTTATAAATTTTTTTAGTACTGATATGCTATTTTACCTTTAAGATATTGTTATTTATTAAATATTAGGGTTATATTCTTTATTTTTTTTATTATTTTTTTTAATATTTTCAATTTTAAATATTATTCCTTATTTTGTTTTAACTATTGTTTTTTTTTAATATAGTTTATAAAAGTACTACTTTTAAGAATATTTTTATTTAGCAATAATTTTTTAATATTTTTATTTTTTAATGTTTTTATTTTTTAATATAATTTGTTTAATTGTTGTTTCATTCTTTTTTAATTTTTCAAACTATTCTTTTTTCAATAATTTTTTTGTTATTTTTTTTTAACTTTCGAAATATTTTTGTTTTTAATATTTTTATTTTATAATACTATATATTTTTTATAATATAAATTTTTTGTGCCCTTACTAGTTTATTTTTTAAAATTATATATATATCAGTATTGTTTAAATTTTAGCGTTCTAATATATTTAAATATATTCCTTTATTAATTATTTTTTTGTTTATTATTTTTTATTACTATTTCATATATTATTTTTTCATTATATTTTTATGTTTTTAATAGTTTTATTTTCTAAAAAAGTTTATGTAAGTGCTATTTTTATTTTAATTGTACACTATTTTTTTAATATCTTTGTTTTTTAACATTTTTTTAATTTTTATTATTTTTAATTTTTAAAAAATTTTATTTTTTTAATGTTTTTTTATTTTTTTATTATTATTTTATTTTATTTTTATATTATTTTTATTTTTTTACATTTTTATATTTTTTTTTTAAATAATCTATATAAGTCTATATTAATTTTCAGATATTTTTTTAAAATTAATTTTTGAATAATTTTATTTCTACTTGTATCTCTCTTTCATTTTGGTATTTATCGTTTTTTTGTTGTTCCAGCAAGCTTTGTGAATGTATTTTTGCGTGCTTTTTATATATTGTGTTTATTTTTGAATGGTTTTTTATTTTTTTTTTCTGTTTTTTTTTTGTCTTTTATGTTGTATGCATTTGTTATTGCTTTTTATTTTTATATTTTATTTTTTTAATATTATTATTTTTTAATATTTTTATTATTTTTTATTATTATTTTTTTTTTTATTTTTAATATTTTTATTTTTTTTTTAAATAGTCTATATTTAAATTTTCAGATATTTTTTTAATATAAAATCTCTTCTTCATTTCGCTATATATTATTTTTGTTGTTGTACCTACTTTTGTTGAATGTAATTTTACATGTTTTTTTATATTTTGTTTATTTTTCAATTATTAGTTTTTTATTTTTGTTTTTATTGTCTTTTATGTGGTATGCATTTTTTATTGCTTTTTATTTTTATATTTTATTTTTTAATAATTATTAATTTTTAATATTTTTATATTTTATTTCTTTATATTATTATTTTTTAATATTTATATTTTTTTATTATTTTTATTTCTTTTATAATTTGTTATGTTTTTATTTTTTTATATTATTTTTTTAAAATTTTTATTTTTTTTAATTTTTATTTTTTTATGTTTTATTTTTTTAAATAGTTTATATTTTAATTTTGGGATATTTTTTTAATATTTTTTATATTTTTATCTCTCTTTCATTTCGGTGTTTATTGTTTTTGTTGTTGTGCCAACTTTTGTTGAATGTTTACGTGCTTTTTTATATTTTGTTTATTTTTCAATTATTATTTTTTTATTTTTGTTTTTATTGTCTTTTATGTGGTATGCATTTTTTATTGCTTTTTATTTTTATATTTTATTTTTTAATAATTATTAATTTTTAATATTATTATAATATTTTTATTTTTTTATATTTTTATTTCTTTTATAATTTTTTATGTTTTTATTTTTTTAATTTAAAGATTTTTTCTTTTAATATTAATTTTTAATAATTTTTTTTTTATATTTTTATCTCTCCTTCATTTCGGTATTTATTGTTTTTGTTATTGTGCCGACTTTTGTTGAATGTATTTTTATGTGCTTTTTTATATTTTGTTTATTTTTGAATTAATTTGTTATATTTTTTGTTTTTATGTTGTATGCATTTTTTTATTGTTTTTTATTTTTATACATTGTTTTGCTGAATTAATTAATTAATTTCTTTTTTTTTCTCTGGCATCAATAAAAATACCGTTGCTTTTTTGCTCTTATTCTCTGCTGTTTGTTACTCCTCTGGTTCTTGTTCTTCTTCTGATGCTTGTTCTAGTTCCTTTTTTTTTTTTTTTGTTGTCTACTCTACTCCATTATTAAAGAGGGGCTTTGGCTGGCTGGCTGTCTGTCTGTTTGTCTGCCCCTCTGTCATCTGTTCTTGTGTGTATTTTGACATTTAAACTAAGCAAAAATAACAAAAAGAACACAGAAAAAAATTGGCGAGACAACAACTCTCTTTTGTCTGCTTGCTTTATGCACTCTTCCTCTTTTGCTTGTGCTATTTTTTTTTTCATTACCGTTTATTTTTTCGCTTTGCCGACCAACTGACACAAAAACTAGATTTTTTTTTGCAATTTCCTTTTGAAAATGTTTAATTTTTATTTCTTGTTTTTTTCAAAATTCACTTTTGCTTTTCATCAAGGTTTTACAAACACTTCCACTTTCATTTGCCACGGAAACACGGCGAGTCAGCGGCGACAGACAACGTAACTACTGAACAACGAACGACGACGACATGTTGCATGACACACAAAATGTATCTACAAATCCTCACGAAAAGAAACAGAAGGCTCCGTTTTGTCTTTTTTTCCTTTTTTAATTATTACAAAATTCCCTTTTTATAGCCCCCGCGTCTAGCACTATTTCCAGACGTATGGCCACACGTTAGAATGAAAAGCAAAAAAAAAAAAACGAGGAAATTAGGTCGGTAGGGCAAACTTGGCGCTCTCAATTCAAATGACACAAAAAGCGAGCGGGCGAGCGTACGAACGAACGGGGAGATAGCGGCGGCATTACTAAACAAATCACGACACGCATTACTTTAATCACACGAGACGAGCGACCAACCGACAAACGCACGGCAGGCTAATCTAGTTCTTCAATTATTTATTTTTTCCCTAAATAATTATCACACAATTTTTCCTAGTTTTTTTCTCTCTATCTCTTTTTACATGCAATTTCTTTGCATTTTTTTCTTTATTTCTTCTTTAATTAAAATCCAAAAAAAAAATCGTAATATTTTTTAGAAGGCTAAGGCGAAGGCCTCACCGAATAGAACTAAACCCCAAACAAGCAAAAACACTTTGCCTTACCCCTAAGCCAAAAACACACAACGCCACAAACAACCAAACACAAGCATGACTCTATTAACAACAAGAACAACAACACCTATGATTCAAAGGAAAGAGGCTGCTCCCAAATGAATTCTCCTCTCCAACACTCAATTATTGTCTCAGTAAGTTCTGTTGTTCCGTTTTATTTTTGCAATGCACACACGAACACTCGCCAAATAATCTAAACAAGGCAAATGCATTCTCCCCCTCTCGTCATCTGTGTGTCTGACAGTCTGGCTCTCTCTCGCACACACACACTCTCGATGGTTTGCTTCCCTAGTAAACTTAACCTAAATATTAACAAAATGAATATAGAACGGAACACAAATAAAGCTTTGCAATTTTTGTTTTTGGTTTTGTCTTTGCTTTGTGTCGATATTCGCGTAATACAAATACACCAATACTGTGTAAATGTTTTATGTGTGTGTGTGTACTGCCGTTCTTGGCCTTTAATAAAACAATTTGAAGAACAAGGACAGAGAGTGGCTACATAATCTTGTAGTTTCAGCGAATTGCCTGACTGCCTGCCATTCGTTCGTTTTCCGCAAGAATTACTTGAATCAAAACAAACAAAGAAAATCATAAATGGAGACGAAGAAAAAGCTTTCGTAAAAAAACTTTCGTTTTCAATGAATTTCAAGTTCAAGTGGGAGCTTTTAACGGTGCGCTAGATGGCATTAAGTGAGAATTTCAAAAAAAAAAATGCAAAATGGCCGATCAAGATTCCTTCCAAAGAACAACAAAAAAAAAAAACAAAGAGGAAAAGGAAATGAGAGGAGAAATAGAAAATATGTGCAACAGTGTGGAAAAGAACAGGAAAAGGAAATGATAGGAGAAATAGAAATTATGTGCAATAGTGTGTGTCTGTGTAAAGTAATTTGATTTATGATGACATGATGTGTGGCGTTTTTTCTTCATTAAAAAATTACTTGGGAATGACATTACCAATGGATTTAATTGTTTTTGTGGTGAGGACTACGCTCACTGAGAGCACTCGTGCCTGTATTTGCTTGGACCTGTTTTTGTGGTCAAAATGAACTCTTGGAGATCTAGATGGCCTCCCAGATATCTAGAAGACCTTCTAGAGGCGATTACGACGATTTTTTAAAATTATTTCATAAAAAAATAAAAATATATAAAAAAAATTCTAAAAATAAAAATTTAAAAAAAAATCTAAAAATTAAAATATCACTATTTTAAAAAATAAAATTATTTAAAACATAAAATAAATTAAAAAAATCGTAAAAATAAAATATTACAAAAAATATAAATAAATATAAAAAAATCTAAAAATTGACCTCTCAAAATAGCCTCTCAGATATCTAGAAGAAATTCTAGAGGCTTATACGCCGATTTTTCAAAATTATTTCATAAAAAATAATAAAAATAAAAGAAAATTAAAAAATATCTAAAAATTAAAATATCAATTACATCGACTATTTTAAAAAATAAAATTATTAAAAACATAAAATAAATTCAAAAATCCAAAAAATCATAAAAATAAAATATTACAAAATAAAAGAAATATAAAAAAATATAAAAATTGGCCTCTCAAAATGGCCTTTCAGATTTTTTAAACTTATTTCCCAAAAAATATTTAAAAGTAAAAATATTAAAAAAAAAATAAAAATATCTAAAAATTAACATATCAATTACATAGACTATCAAAAAATCGTAAAAATTAAATATTACAATTTAATATAAATATTAAAAAATCTAATAATTGGCCTCTCAAAAAATTTTTCAAAATTAATTCATAAAAAATAATAAAAAAATAAAAATATTAAAAAAAATAAAAATGTCTTAAAATTAAAATATAAATTACATGGGCTATTTTAAAAAAATAAAATTATTAAAAAGATAAAATAAATTAAATAAATCCAAAAAATCGTAAAAATAAAATATTACAATATAATATAAATATAAAAAATTCTAAAAATTGGCCTCGACGATTTTTCAAAATTAATTCATAAAAAATAATAAAAAAATAAAAATATTAAAAAAATTAAAAATATCTAAAAAATAAAATATCAATTACATTGACTATTTTAAAAAATAAAATTATTAAAAACATAAAATTAATTTAAAAAAATCCAAAAAATTGTAAAAATAAAATATAATATATTTTATATATATAAAAAAATCTAAAAATTGGCCTCTCAAGAAGATTTTTCAAAATTATTTCATAAAAAATTATAATAAAAAAATAAAAATATTAAAAAAAAAATTACAAATATCTAAAAATTAAAATTTCAATTACATAGACTAATTAAAAAAATAAAATTATTAAAAACATAAAATAAATTAAAAAAAATCCAAAAAATCATACTTACCGGCAAAACGTTTAAAAATAACATCAATACCTGCGAGCTGAGGATAATAATTTTTTTACTTGGAGCTATTTTCTGCGTTTACAAATCCACAAATAATTTTTGGTATCGCTTTATTATTTGCACATTCTTCTGCCAAACTAAATATTTGCAAATTTGTTTTCCCAAATGGGCCACCCTTGTGGAATATGCAGTGCTGAAACAACAGACACAAATTGCGTACTCTGTTGCAAATGTAACATATGGTTTCATGCAGACTGTGAAAACATTTCGAAGACTGTTTTTAGTATGCTGTCCAAAAATAAAAGCCTGGAATATAAATGTGTAAACTGTGTGGAAAATCCTGCTGATAACTCTGATGATGCATTCAAGAATGAAATGAGAGCACAGTTTGCTAGTTTAAGAGCATCTATAAATTCACTTGCCAGTGACATGAGTGTTGTTAGACAAGATCAGAGTGAAATAAAAAGCAAGTTTGAGAGCCTTGCGACTGAAATACAATCCGATTTAACAAATGGTCTCGAAGAGATGAGGGGTGAGGTCCAGAAGTGCAAAGATCTTGTTGACTCTCATGATGCAGTTTATAAAAATAAATTCATGGAACTTGAGCTCCAAAATCATTGCCTTCAACACAGATTAAACCGAGCTGACATTATTGTTTCTGGACTTCCTGGTGATCTTGAAAAATTAAATGATATTGCTGTTAACATTTGTAGTTTGCTCAAGGTGGATATTGCTCCGAACCTTATTGATAGTGCTTTGTATATCAGGAAGCGTCGTTCAATCTTAGTTAAATTTAAGAACATTGTACAGCGAGATGAGGTGATGCGTGTTTACTACAAGTCAAAGTCAATTAAAGTATCCGATGTGATTGGTGGATCTAATGGCTCCCGTGTTTATCTTAATGATAATTATTCTACTTTGGCCAATAAAATTTGGAAAATTTGTATAAAACTAAAAAGAGAAAATAAAATTACTGGTTTTAGCCTTATAAATCGAGAAATACTTACAGTAAAATTTATAATGCCAAATAATGTTTCAAAAATTTTGAATTTTCGTGAATGTGTTGAATTCTTCAAAAGTAATCAATGTAATCTATAACCTTGCTTTTTATTTTTTTATCTCAAACTTTTTTGAATTAATTGTTATCATGGTTAATACAATTAACTGTCTTTTATTAAGTGGTTATACCACAGTTAATGAATTAAATTTTTTCACATTGAAAATATTTTATAAAATCCTAAATATTTTTTATATAGTTTTTATAACTTGGTTCCCCCAAATATATGAATATTGCTGCCTTTTTGATGAGTTATAATATTAATCTGGGCCCTGTAGCAACTGATAATACTATACTGAAAAACTTTACTTCTTCTTTTTGTCGGAATCTTAATATTGGTCATGTAAATGCACAAAGTTTGTGCCCTTCAACCTCCAATTCTAAGTGGGAAGAGTTTAAAAATATTTTTGATGATTGTGGATTGGATATTTTGGGAATATCTGAGACTTGGTTTAAACCTAATATTTACTCAAGTTTGTTGGATCTCGTGAATTATAACCTAATTAGAAATGATCGTTGTTCTCTTAGAGGTGGCGGTGTATGCTTATATATATTAAGGAATTTACGTCATAGGGTGATTTTTAGGGGTATGCAGTATGGTGTTTGTGAGTCCTTGTTTGTGGAAATTTTTGGGGTTGAATCTTCATTTATTTTAGGAATTGTTTATTTGCCAACTGGAGCTATCGATGTTTTTGAGGATATGCATTCGGATATCTTTGACAAGTTCTCAAATATTGTTGTAATGGGAGACTTTAATTATAACTTATTCGATGCTAATAAATCCAATAATTTCCGCTCGCTGGTGAATAGATGTGGTCTTCATTACATTCATAATTCGTTACCAACGCATATAAATCATCCCACGAAAACAACTTCGTTGTTAGATTTGTTTCTTACAAGTCAGCCTTCTTATGTTGCCCACAAAAGTCAAATTCAATACCCATTTTTTTCCTCAAACCACAGTCTTATATTACTCTCTCTTCATTTTAAATGTCAACCGGGGGAGGAATGGATTGAATTTAAAGATTACAACAAGTTTAAAATTGATGATTACTTAGAGGTAGTAAATGAATTTGATTTGCGTTTGATTTATGATGTTCATGATATTGATTGCAAGTTATCAATTTTAAATAACCTTATTAATTTACTCCACTCTTATGTTCCAACTGCACGAATTAAAGCAAATTCAAATCGTCAGTCTTGGATGAATTCCCAAGATATAATACAGGCGAGGATTGAAAGAGATAGAGCATATTCTGTTTTCCTTAGAAATCCAATAGATGAGAATTGGAAGACATATAAGCGTTTAAGAAATAGAACAAAAGGAATTATAAGAAAAGTGCGGTTTCAATTTGGAAAAAGTTATTTTGCAAATGTAAATGGTTCTCAAATGTGGAAAAAAGTCCGTCGACTAGGTTGTATTGGTCGTGAGAACATTGAAATTGATGTGAATGAAGTTGAGACTTTAGCGAATAACTTCCTGAGTAATATGTGTCCATCTGATAATTTGTCTTTTGATTTTGATAGTTTTGTTGATGACGCCGATTCGTTTTCTTTTCATCCAATTACGGAGTATGAACTCTTATCTTCTCTTAATTCCATTAAATCAAACTCGCTAGGATATGATTCAATACCAATCAAATTCATTAAACAGATTTTTCCAGCAATATCGAGTTCCTTAATGCATATTTTAAATACTGTTCTAACCGTCTCTAGTTTTCCAGATGCTTGGAAACTTGGAAAAATAATCCCCATACCCAAGGATTGTCATAACTCAATTGGGAGTTTTAGGCCGATTTCCATATTACCTTCTGTTTCCAAAATCCTTGAAAATGTGATGAAGGAGCAAATTCTGGAGCATTATCGTCAAATCTAATTTTTTAGCCCATTTCAGTTTGCTTTTCGAAAAAACCATAATACAACATCAGCTTTGCTTTCAATTACTGATTTTATTAGAAGACATTTAAACGTTCATCCTAGCTGTTTGCTTGTTTCGTTGGATGTAACTAAGGCATTTGATCGAGTTAATCACCGCATCTTACTTGAAAAACTTCGTGACCACTGTAAGTTTTCTAAAACAGCGTGTCGGTTAATTTATTCATATCTTTCTGATCGAAGACAGTATGTTTCTTCTAATAATATCAAATCTTCTATTGGCTTTGTGACGTCTGGTGTGCCTCAGGGATCTATTCTAGGCCCTATTCTCTTTCTTTCTTACGTTAATGATATAATTGCTGCCTTAGAAAGTCGGATCTGTGAACCTTATGTTTTTGCGGATGACATCTTCCTTTTATTTAAGTCGTATGACTCGGATCTTGAAATAAATTCCCATCTCCATCATGTTTCTAACTTGCTGTCACTAAATAAGTTGGATATAAATCCTCTTAAAACAAAGGCAATGCTGTTGCATACACGTAGACATGGTTCTTCTTGTCCTAATATTAAAATTGGTTCCACACTTATTCAAACGGTGGAGTCTATGAAATGTCTTGGCATTAATGTTGATTCTAAGTTAGATTTCAGTGACCATATTGATGATATATCAAGAAAAGTGTGTCTTATCTTGAGAAGACTTTATAGCCTAAAAGAGTATACACCAATTGCTGTGAGAAAACAATTAGCACATTCGTTATTGATGTCCTTGGTTAACTACGGAATTGAAGTTTACTCTGGAACTTGGGGATATAATTTGAATATAATTGAACGGTTTGTTCGAAGAATTGTTAGATATGTTTACCAAATTCGTGTTTACGATCACGTACGTACGCTGGAGGCAACGGAAGATTTCCTTGGATGTACTTTTCCAAATTTTGTAAAGCAAAGGATTGTTTTGCATTTCTACAAACTTGTTAAATATCAGCAACCTGAAATACTAGTAACTCAGTTTTCTTTTATTAATTCAGCGCGTAACACACAAATTGATGTTCCCTTAGTAAATAATGCCTTTTTCGAACACTCATTCTTTGTGCGGGTCTACAGAGTATGGAACCCTTTACCAACTCCTTTGAGAAGGTTCTCGTTTTCCTACTTCACCTTCAAAAAAAAGTTGAAAAGTTTTGTAAATAGTGGACATAATTTATAAGTCTTTTTGTTTTCATTTACATATGTCTTTGCTATAGGACCTAAATCTTGTAACATTTATTTAACCTTCAATATTCATATGGCTGGGGAGCCGTTTATTCTTGTTCATTGAATTTTTTAGCTATTAAAAGTAAACAAACTGTTTTTGTATTATTATGATAATTACTACCACAGTATTAGCATTTATTTTTATAGTAATCTCCAATACATGTATTATTGGCTAGGAAGCTTTCTATGTATTGATTTTTTGAAATAAATAAATAAATAAATAAATAAATCGTAAAATTAAAATATTATAATATAATATATTTTATATATATAAAAAAATCTAAAAATTGGCCTCTCACGACGATTTTTCAAAATTAATTCATAAAAATACTAAAAAAATAAAAATATTAAAAAAAATAAAAACTAAAATATCAATTACATAGACTATTTTAAAAAATAAAATTATTAAAAACATAAAATAAATTTTAAAAAATCCAAAAAATCGTAAAAATAACATATTATAATATAAAATATATTATATATACAAAAAAATCTAAAAATTGGCCTCTCACGACGGTTTTTCAGAATTATTTCATAAAAAATAATAATAAAAAAAATAAAAATATTAAAAATATCTAAAAATTAACATATCAATTACATAGACTATTTTAAAAAATAAAATCATTGAAAACATAAAATAAATTTAAAAAAAAATCCAAAAAAATCATAAAAAAAATGTTAAAAAAATATATATAAAAAATCTAAATTTTTCAAAATTAATTCATAAAAAATAATAAAAAAATAAAAATACTAAAAAAAAAAAAATATCTAAAAATTAAAATATCAATTACATAGACTATTTTAAAAAATAAATCAATAAAAAACATAAAATAAATTTAAAAATATCCAAAAAATCGTAAAAATAAAATATTACAAAAAATATAAATAAATATAAAAAATCTAAAAATTAAAATATTACTTATATACAGGGTGAGATATAAAAACTGCAACAAAGTCGAACGCAATAATTTTTTCATTTTTTTTAAATTTTATTGAATCAAAGCAAAAACTGTCGGAAATAGCATCAAATTTTAGAAAAAGTTTCGATTTGTTCGAATTGGTCACCTTTGTCGCGAATTATGACCTTCGAACGGCCAATGAAACCGTCACACGCTGCCCGAATGTTGCTCTGCGGTATTTTGGCCCATTTGAGGCGAAGCGCTTGCTTGAGGTGATCAACACTTTGGTATTTTTTAATGCCAACCTTGCTTTCCTTGCAAAGTACTCCAGACACGGATACGTCCAAGGGATTGATATCCGGCCGGATTTCGTTTGCCTGCCCAAGGCTTTAATACACCCTCCAGAATATTTTCGAGATAAATATTCGGCATTTATTCTGATGCCACGGTCGATTAATACGAGCACGAGCGGAGAGTGACCATCGGCTGTTATGGCCGGCGCTTGAGTTCTGGTGGCCAACCGAAGTTGCACATTTTCAGCTGACCTCTTCGACAAGAAAACGCCCGATCATTTTGTTTCTTTATAAACTGCTGAACAACGAATGATTCCTTATCGGAGACAGCCAAACCAAATTCGGCAAATCACCACTTTCGGCTTTAGATATTTTGCGTCTATTTTCTTTCTGTTGCGGTGTAAGTTCTTCTGGGGGTCTTCAAGTCGTTCGCTCAAGCCACAGCTATCTGCTTTTAGGGGTCACATTCGATACCATTTTCAAGTCGTCCGCTCAAGCCACAGCTATCTGCGATAGGCTTAGAAGTAGAAACAAGGTTCTCAAGTCTCTGGCCGGCAGCTCTTGGGAAGCTGATAAGGATACTTTGTCGACCTCTCACAACGCCATAAGCCGGTCTGTGGCAAACTATGCGGCTCCGGTGTGGTCCGCCAACGTTAGAGCTACGCAGTGGAAACATATTCAGTCCTGCCAGAATGGCACCATTAGAATCACAACAGGGTGCCGCCGCATAACACCTGTTGACCACATACATGAGGAGGCAAAGGTTTTACCTGTTGACAAAATACTGTCAATGCAGTACCTGCTTGGGTGTTACAGGCAGAGCCATCCGAATAACCATCTGGTGGATGGGCAACCTCCGCCCAGGCACGTAGGGAAAGACCTTTATGATCTAAAGAGAGATAGAGATAGAGAGATGTACAAAGGTATAAGATAGAGCCTCTAAAGCGGTCTCAGAAGTCATGGACACCTATTGACCACCTACATGAGGAGGCAAAAGTCTCAGTGGAGCGACAGCATAATAAAATTCTGTCAATGCAATACCTGCTTGGGTGTTACCGACAGGGCCATCCGAATCACCATCTGGTGGATGGGCAACCTCCCTTCAGGCACGTAAGGAAAGACCTTTAAGATCTAGAGAGAGAGATGTACAGAAGTATTAGAGAGAGAGCCTCTAGATGGACAGGCCTCTAACGCAGTCTCAGAAGTCATGGACATCTATTGACAGACAGAACCATCTGAATCACAATCTGGTGGATGGGCAACCTCCGCCCAGGAGAGGCCTTCATTGTCTGGAGAGAGAGAGGGAGAGATGTACAGAGGTATAAGAGAGAGAGAGAGAGACCCTCTAGATCAACGGGCCTCTAACGCAGTCTCAGAAATCATGGAAGGATATGAAGTGAAAACTGTACTAGGAGACCACCCCCCTCCCATCACAGCTGAAGAGTGAGAGCTGCCCCCACAAACTCAAGTAGTTTTGGCTCAGTTACGATCCGGATGGTGCAGCCGCCTTCATTCCTATTGGACCCGGTTTGACAGCGATGGGCAGAACATCTGCCCAGCTTATGGGGCACAGGTCCACATGACACGCTGCACATATTTCACTGCCCAGCCAAACCCACTCACCTAACTCCAGTGTCCTTGTGGACCCAACCCGGTACAGGTTGCATCCTTTTTGAGACTGGAGGAGGGAGGAGAGCCTGAACCCGATCGAGGGGAGTCAGAACGAACACAGCAGTATGAGCTGCTACAACAACATCTATCTGCGACAAAATAAAAAATAAAGATCTTTGGCTACAGCCCGCAAAAGTAGCTGATTCTTTTTGAATCTGGAGCAAAACCTATTACAAAAACAACAAATTACAGGAGATATTTTCTATCAAAGGGGAAAAAATTGAAGGGGAGGGTAAGCCTTTGCCTCTCAAAAAGTAAAATTTCCCATAGGATTTTATTCCACTGGGTATAATTAATTATATCAAGATTGAGGTTAGGTTGAATGAATTGATAATTTTTTTTTCTAAAACAGAAACTCTTCTTTCTTGTGGCTTTAAAAAATTCATTGGTTATTTTATTTCATTAATCCATCAAAACTTAACATTATTTTCATAGAAAAATCATTTTTGTTGTTGGATGTAGAGTTTTAAAAAAATTCTTCCTCCATACAACCCTAACCTAAAATATATTTCTTTTACAAAAATAAAATAACAATAAATAAAATAAAATCTATAACAAATTCATTTCAAATATAGGAACCCCAGCCTATGTACATAGCTGCCAAATTATCCAAGTCGGTGGCTTCATTGATAAGGAAATTAACATGGCCCTCGGTGGACAAGGGAATACTGAAACCTTGGGTTCTTTTGACCTAAAAAAAAAGAGAGAAGATTATTTAAAATTTTCCAATTAAGGAAAACTCCAATCACAATACTCACATAACCCTGTAAACGTTCTTCAATCCTTTTGACATCTGTTATGGCCTTGGGATCGGTTACCTCCAAATTACTATTGGTTTTCTTCGTTTTCAAGCGATCAATGAAACCAATATCATAGACAAATGGCCGCAGCACCGACATTAATGTCTTCGATTCTCCCTTTAGCAGCCGTAATGTTATTTCACAACATTTCCGGAAGAGACCCTCCACCCCTAGTGGGCCCATGGCAAAGGTCATGTTGTGTGTCAAACGAAATGGTACCAATTCAGGGTAGGCAAACGATTCACCCTGATTGAAGAGACAATTGAAATCGACATGTACCGCATCACCATTTGTCTCATCGAAAAGGATATTTTCACCATGACGATCGCCCAGCCCTAGAATGTAGCCCACCATTGACATAACGGAAGTGGTCTTGACATATGAACTCCTTGCCTGATACCAGCTGTGTGGAGAATGGAATTGCTGCCTAAACCATTCGTGGAAAACTGGTGGATTACGGGCCAAAAGTTCTTGGAAAACGGCCCGTTTCTTTTCGATGGATTCCGTTTTGGGTACGGCATACTGGCGTATATTACGATCGGGTATACCCAGGCCACGCATGCGATATATGGTGGTGCAAATTCCTCGAAAGGAATTCAAATTGGGTAGCCATTCGACAAGACCACATTCCTCGTTGAAGGGTATCGCAGCATAGGTACGTATGCGCAGGTGACGATGGCGAGCCTGCCACAGAAGAGAGAGAGATTTTTAGATAAACCAATTATTTTTTTAGAAAAAAAAAAAAGAAAAAACACTTACCTGAGGATCCTGATGCAAATATCGCTTGACCAGGCCATTAAATTCCATTAGTCGGAAATCTTTGCGCAAATCATCCTTGGGCTTAACCATGACATTATACGACTTGCCATCGCTGCATTCAATGGTGATCTTTTTCGGCTTGGCCGCTGATCGTAAAACCACCACCTCCTCGGATATACCACATATAAAAACCCCCGCAGGAAAAGGATAACTGGGCACTGCCGCTTGCATGGAGGCATCAGGAGTGGGATTCACCGTCACCGATGTGACATTCAAACTCTCCGTTGCAGTCTGTGAGGTTATGGGGAATGAGGCCTGCATATATTTCTCAAATGGCAGCATAATATTTGAGAATTTCGGATCGGCAAAGAGCTGGGGCAGCTGACGCACCAGAGCACTTAACTGATAGGTACGATCATAGGAAATATCCTTGTTGGTCAACTCGATGAGACGTTCCGCGAGAATATTAAAATCGTTGAGTAGCTTTTGAAAACTGGCCTTGCTCAACCTGGCATCGGTGAGTATGAGCCGGGAGCGTTTAATGCGATTTGTGTGGCACGACTTGATTATGGGCAACAACATCCAGAGCGACTGATGAGGGAAATGTTCAATGAGCTTGATGACAATATTACTGAGATTACGAAACACATCCGGCGAGGGATGGCAAATGCGACTGAGCAGCTGTGAAAAGGCCGTGTAGAACAACGAGATGGGCAGCACATTGATACAGTTCTGGATCATGTCATTCATTTTCCTGGCCAAACTTTGGAAATTATTCATTTTTGCGGCGTTCATATTGCTCGCCGTCTGCTGATCCGAGGCAGTCAATGAAGCCAAATGAGAGGTGAAATCCAGCCAAATACTCAGAATCCTGGGCAGGGACTGATACACATGGGAGTGGCCATATTTCAGGGACTTGGCATAGGTCAACATGGTGTCCAGCAGAAGACTACAGCCATGCTCGCATTCCTTTTGTTCACGACTATAGGAATCGTAGATTTTCTCAATATACTGGGCATAGTGGAGGAGACACTTTTCCGAGGTGCGATTGGCGGCCAATGCTTCATTGAAATATTTCAAATTCAGTTCGGAACAGATATTCATGGACTCGGCATTAAAGGTGGCCTGCAAAAATTTCGCCTCGGCATAAATAATACGTTTGGAGGCCTCAAGACGCCGCATGTCACCATTACATGTGGCCTCCAGGGCATTGAGATTATCCTGCAAAAGTTTAAAACAATTCGTTTGATCACCCTTTTGCCACAGCAATTTTGCCTTCTCCAGAAACAAGGTGGCCGGTTTATAGGGTTCCGCCTTCATCATGGATATTTCGGCCTGTTGCAAACAACCCGATTCCCGATTCATTTGGATGCTACGCAACCATAGCTTGACAATTTGTTCATTGATTGCCCCGTTGATGGGTGTGAGCAGGTCCTGTTGGGCCCTTACCTCGGAACTTTGATAATTTTGTTGCAGAATCCTTTGGGTCTCGAGCAGAAGATTTCTTCGGAAACACATTACCTCCAAAATGCGGGCCGATGGCTCTAAAATTACCAGCCTGGCATCCCAGTTGCCAAAGAACTCCTGCAAATTTTCCAAGCAATTTTGTTTGAGGTTTTGTAGGTCGGCCGTGGAGCTGGCCATTTTGAGATTGCTCTGCAATTGATTTAATAATCTCTTGTTTTTCTCCAACTCATTTAGCAAATGCAGCCGGGTGGCTTCATCATAGGAATGGGTATAGGAATTGCCCGTCACACCCGAACAGGAACGCATGCTGGCCACAATGTGAGAGCGCAGCGTATCCAATTGCTCGACAAAGAGGTCATCCTCTCCCGGCATGGTGGGTTGGCGAAACAGCAAAAAGGCCTCGGCACACTGGATATTCCAGTTGCTGGTCTTACTCTTAACCGCCGTGTCCTCCAGCAATTCCTGTAACTCATCATAACGTCCCAGACGCCAAAGGATTTCCGTTTTACACTCCTTGAAATAGTCATCGTTGTATTGATCGGCCAATTTCTCCCACAGGCCATCGGTGATAAGCAGGGCCGTCTCAGGGGTATCGGTGCGTAGATAGCATTGGATTATGCCGCTTACATGATCCTGATTGATTTGGGCATCACCCTTCAGCAGCAGCTGCTGATAACAGTTTATGGTCTCCTGGGGACGATCCACCAGGCGATTTACCAGAATTTCCTCTTCCAAAGACAAATCGGTTTCCTTGACAAAGACCGCCCCCTCCACCGAATCGGAATCCATTAACTTGCCATGGATTTCAATCAAATACGACAATTGTTCTTGCAGCCTCTTCGCCGGTTTTTCCTCAATGTATTCCTCCAAATACAGCAAAGCCCGGGCATATTCCCCTGAATTATAATTGGCCTTGGAAATCACAGCCTTATTGAATTTCTTCAAAAACGAATCGATGTTTTTGTACTTGTCATCCTCCTGGCGGAACTTGCCACCCATCATATTCTGCTTTAGCCATTCACGGATCCAGCGTTTTAGAAAATCCAGCTGTTCGGAACACAATTTGGTACAGGTTTGGGTCACCGTTTCCAGGGCCTCGAATTGTTCGGAGGCCCCAGCATTTAGCATAGCTGAATTAGAGGTCCCAACCCCTCCTCCAGCCGAAACTTTATCCGCTGAATATTTACTTGATTTAAATTCCTTAAAACCACCCACATCCACCCTACCCGACAGGGTGGCATCACGATTACAAAAATTAAACACCGCCATAAACTCCTCATAGATCTCCACCTCTCTACCCTCCTCACATTCCTGCAGGACATGTAGCAAGATATAGGGGAAGAATATCGACAACATTTTACTATCCCGCTTCATGCTGGGTTTGTAGGAATTCAGCAAACGTCTCGTATCATCGGTTTGTACCCATTCTATCAGACGACAGGCCCAGGCAAAGGACCATTCCTCATAGGACCGACACAGGCTGCTGTTGAACAAAGGATGTTCTGATATTTTCTTGTCCCTCCGCGAACCGGTATAACACGATGACAACAGCGGTTCCATTATCTGTTGCATTCTCAGCGGCAAGGCATCCCAGACATTTAATTTCTTACTCTCCCTCGGAGAAATACCAAAAACCGCCAATGTCTCCTGTATGGCCAGGGAGAAGTTATCCACATATTTGGAATCTTTTTGAAACTGATAAGCCCTACAGAGTTCCGTCAAAGCCATAATGGCAAAATCATCGGTGTGCATGCTCAGGCTGATTTCCGTACTCCCCATAAACGAAAAATTCGCCGACATATAACTTGGATCAATGGCGCCCAATTCGCCCAGACATTTGGCCGATGCCAAATGGATGTTACGATCTTCATGGCGGCACCCCTTGATCACCTCATCCACAATGCGTTCAATCAAAGGATTCAGGGGTATGGTATCCAAGATCATGTGATTGATCTCACCACGATATCTGTTGATAAAGCTACCCAAATAATTCAGGCCATAGATTCTCACCTGGCTATTTTCATTGCAGATTTGATTGTAGAGGAAGCTCAGCTTCTCTGCAATATCTTCCCCACCCTCAAGTTTCAGCAACTCCGTTTGCCTTGCCATAGATTGTCGTATGACACCCCTCACCTCCTTGGTATCCTTCAAAAAATACAAATCCGAAATATGTGAGCCCAACAGACTACCACTTTTCAATATCAGAAATTCATAAATATCATTTATCTCCTCCGCATAGCTACCGATCAGGGGTTGCAATGAAGCCACAATACGGCTCAACGATGGACCCAGCTCCTCAATATTCACCGTGTGCAAAAATATATTCCATATTTTCAGGCAAATACTTTGCAGGTTCTTGTCGTCTAGGGTCAGAACAAAACTTAACATGGCAATAATTTTGAAACGGAATTGGGTGACATTGTTGGGGCCAATCAATCGCATAATTTGTCCCAAACTATAGAGTGTCTCTTCCTTCAGGGGTTTTTCAAAATATGGCTCCGAGAGGCAGGTTTGAAAATAGGTTATAACACCCAGAAAACGATCGGCAATGAAGTTGGAAAATTCATGAGTGGCACTTTTGAAGGATCGTAAGCTGGTGCTGCTACTGCTTGATGATGCTGTTGCGCCACCCACTTCATTTGGCAGCAAGCAGCTGAAAGCCTGCATTACAAAGGTGGGACTTCGATTGAAATAGACCAGGAATTCGGAAACAGTTTGCTGAAATTAAATGGAATTTAGAAGAATGCGGAATCAATGACTTCTATGAGAAGTCATCAATGACTTCTGTGAGAAGTCATCTATGACTTCTGTGGCAAGTCATCTATGACTTCTGTGAGAAGTCATCTATGACTTCTGTGAGAAGTCATCTATGACTTCTGTGAGAAGTCATCTATGACTTCTGTGAGAAGTCATCTATGACTTCTGTGAGAAGTCATCTATGACTTCCCTGAGAAGTCATCTATGACTTCCCTGAGAAGTCATCTATGACTTCCCTGAGAAGTCATCTATGACTTCCCTGAGAAGTCATCTATGACTTCCCTGAGAAGTCATCTATGACTTCTGTGAGAAGTCATCTATGACTTCTGTGAGAAGTCATCTATGACTTCCCTGAGAAGTCATCAATGACTTCTGTGAGAAGTCATCTATGACTTCTGTGAGAAGTCATCAATGACTTCTGTGAGAAGTCATCAATGACTTCTGTGAGAAGTCATCTATGACTTCCCTGAGAAGTCATCTATGACTTCTGTGAGAAGTCATCAATGACTTCTGTGAGAAGTCATCAATGACTTCTGTGAGAAGTCATCAATGACTTCTGTGAGAAGTCATCAATGACTTCTGTGAGAAGTCATCTATGACTTCTGTGAGAAGTCATCAATGACTTCTGTGAGAAGTCATCTATGACTTCTCTGTAAGAAGTCATCTATGACTTCTCTGTAAGAAGTCATCTATGACTTCTCTGTAAGAAGTCATCTATGACTTCTCTGTAAGAAGTCATCTATGACTTCTCTGTAGGAAGTCATCTATGACTTCTCTGTAAGAAGTCATCTATGACTTCTCTGTAAGAAGTCATCTATGACTTCTCTGTAAGAAGTCATCTATGACTTCTCTGTAAGAAGTCATCTATGACTTCTCTGTAAGAAGTCATCTATGACTTCTCTGTAAGAAGTCATCTATGACTTCTCTGTAAGAAGTCATCTATGACTTCTCTGTAAGAAGTCATCTATGACTTCTCTGTAAGAAGTCATCTATGACTTCTCTGTAAGAAGTCATCTATGACTTCTCTGTAAGAAGTCATCTATGACTTCTCTGTAAGAAGTCATCTATGACTTCTCTGTAAGAAGTCATCTATGACTTCTCTGTAAGAAGTCATCTATGACTTCTCTGTAAGAAGTCATCTATGACTTCTCTGTAAGAAGTCATCTATGACTTCTCTGTAAGAAGTCATCTATGACTTCTGTGAGAAGTCATCTATGACTACGTCTTCCTTGACTCCTATGAGAAGTTATCTATGACTTCTATCCTTTGCATTTTTCTCCCACACACCTTCACATCCGTATTCATCAGCTTGCTAAGGCTGGCTCCGGTACACTTGCCAATCAATTCAATACAGCGATTGCCAATTTCCGGTTCCTCCGTCAAATAGATATGAGTGTAAATTCGCAAAAAGGATACAATGAAGAGATTATTCACCGGTTTGCGGGTTATTTTCGAAATACTAATCAAGAGACCCTTGCAGCGGGGCTCCTTGACACAGTATGGCAAGATCATGGTGACCAAAAGACGATAATATTTACAAATGAACTCCTGGACACAGGCAAAACCAAGCATTTTGGTAAACTGTGAAAGAAAGAAGAATTCATTATTTCAAAGCGTTTTCAAAATAATTTGGCCTACCTACCGATTTTAGGGATCGGGTCATTCTCACGCCACGACTAATGTAAACGTATATCATTAGTTTGACCATTAAATTGAGGGCATCCCGTTTATACCAATTCCACAGTTGTATGGGTTGTTTTTGATAGACCGAACACAGTTCCGTGGCACAAAGGATGGCCTCCGGCACCACCTTTGATTCGGGATGTATGAGATAGAAAAAATGCATTTTAAAAAAATGATACAACCACAATTCGGACAATTGTTGGCTTTGACTACAACTTGTAATGATTTGCAATATAGTCTGTTGATGATGCAGTTGGGTGTCCGCCGACTGTTGGGGCTTGAGTGATTCTATGATGTGACTGAGAATATTGGCTGAAATTTCCTTGAGAAAGTCGGGATTTTCGGCAATGCATTTGCTGAGTATGGGCGTCACTGTGGGCATGTGCAGAGTGGTCTTATTGTTGGCCGAGGGAAATAGAGAGCCCAGAAAGTTATCACCAATGGCCTGGCGACAGAAATCCAAATGATTGGTTATAAACTCCATTTGGGGATTTATGAAAAATTCCTGCAGGAGATATTCTTTCATTTTGTGGGGCATTTCCACTGGTTGACCCGGGGAATTTAGAGTCAGGTGTTTTAGAACGGCCATACTTTGAGAGTGGAAATCTTTTAGTTTTCCATTTTCCTGGGATTTTAAATAACATTGGTGGCAGGTAATTTGCGTTGCCAAAAGTCCAGGATAATTGTGGGAACTTATCTGATCAAATTCTTTTAAATATTTCAAAACAATCACAGAGTTGTTGCTGCCATTCAGGCAAGCAAAGGCCTTTAGCATGGTGAGATAATGCTGTTCCTCCCGTATGTTTTTGGCCAAATCTTTGGCTATCACATCCGCCGTCAACCATTCATTGAGAACGTAGTTTTGTATGTTTTTGGAATATTTTGAAACGAGATGTTGCTTGGCATTTCTCTCCCCAAAGACACGTTTTCCCAAATGTTGTAGGGTGTGGCCTATGGATTTGGCCAAAGAACGACCAGGGCTAAGTTGTCCCAAAATATCCAAAGACAATTCACAGGCATGTAATAGTGCTTCAGGTAATTCTTTCAGTGAAACATCTATGTTTTGCAGGGGTTTCAGTAGCAGATCCATTAATTTTTCCTGTTGCTTCACAGAAAAAAGCTCCCGAAAACTGCAGCATTGCAATAATAAGCCAGCTATGGAAATTTCATCAGGATTTGGGGTCTTGGCAGAAGTAGTTGCTACATTTGTCAGCCAAATTTTCAACGAATTTTTCAATGAGTCCACATTCAAAGTGGAAAGATTTGAGAAAACGGATTTCTTTTGAGTCGCCTTAAAGTCTTCTGCTGTCTTTTGATCTCTCCACAGGATAAGGTGTTCCAATAAGTACACAAAACTTAAATACTCCTTTATCGTATCATAGTTTCTCTTGAAGTTCTGTTGTTCTTTGTTAATTTTAAAAGCCTCCACCAGACTCTTTTCCACATGTTTCAACAAAATATTCAACTCATCGCGATTTGTGGCCCTGGTCAAGTGTGGTGTGACGGCACGCAATACAAATGGAAATACTTCAGCATATTTTATAATCAATTTCGAATATTTTGTTTCATATTTTGAGGGCGTTTTGAGGTTTTCCACAAACAGCGCAAATATGAAATCGCTCAAAGCTCCAGCCACCTCCTTGAGGCGTGATAAATCCATTGCCCTTTGCAAGCCTTGCCATTGATGGACTTCATATAGATTCTCCATTAATTGGAAGCAATGGCGTTGAATCAAGGCTCTGTGCTCCAGTTGAACAATAAATTTATACAGGATTCTTAGTAGCGAACAAGATTCCTCCACAAAATCCTCTATATTATCCTGGGTCAAGCAATTATTTGCCAACCACATGGGACAATAATTCCACATTGTGGCCAGGGATCTTAAGGACAATTCATACATGCCCTGCATTTCCATTAGTGAGCATGTTCTCTCAAATACTCTACCCACATATTGCAGGCAAATGAGCTTGGTGGAGAAATCACATACTTTCAAAGCCTTGAAGATTACCAGCAAATTATTTTGAAATATCTTTGGGAAATTAACATAACCCACACTCAGGCCATGATGGACAATTTGCATTAGAGCTTGCACAAATTCATCCAGCCCATCGCTGTTAATTTCAATTATGGGGAAACTGAAATTGCCATCAATATCCTTCAATGCCTCATGGTCGTCGGTGGAAAAGGCAGTTGTTCTCAACATTACATCCTCCAGTGATGTATCCAGTTTGCCATATTGTTCACATAGCTCATCAATGGCATTCAGATAGGCCTTCAGCAACTTTTCGAATAGCACCACACGATTTACCAGGCAGGAGTTTAACAATTTACGTTGTATCTTTAGATTTTTACTAAAGAGTCTAAAAGATAAAAAAACATTTAAAAAATATTGCCCTAAATGATAAAATATTACTTACTCCCCCTCGGGTGCCTCTTCCAAATTCAAAGACCGCAATAGCTTATTGACCAACCACAGAATAAAAGCATCCTGGAACTTATTGGTGTTGGCCTTGAGGGAATGTCTTATCAGACTTGGTTCCTTGCACAAAATGTCATCGACAAACACCAAGATATCCAGCAGGCCGGTTTCATCACGATTTACCACGCTGTATAACAGCCGCCACATATCCTTACGTCGATCTGCCATATAGAATAGGTAATTGGTCCTTCCTTTTGTAATATTTCGTCTTCATTCGTTAAAAATGATTTCACAATTCCCATGAAATCTACAAATCCTTTAAAGGCGCCAAAATGAATGACGTCCCCAAGGAAACCAAACTCAAATGAAAGACGTCCCCAACGAAAGAAACCGTAAATGAAAAACGTCCCCAAATAAACAAGTAATAAAGGCAAAAAAGTAATGTCCGATAATAAATAAACAAAAAGCAAAATTCCCGAGAACTCTGTTGTTTACGAATGAGACATGAGAAAAACGCAATCAGCTGGAAACATTGATTAAATGAACCGCGCATCTATATCGTCGTAATGCAGAAATGCCGCCGTCGTTATTAGAAAACTGAACATGCAAAGTAAATGAATAGCCCGTGCTTAAATACATTCACACATTTTCTTGGTAGGAAAAAACAAGTTCTTTGTAAAACATTTCAGGCGTACAAGAGGCGGGCATTTTAAGCCTCATTAATAAAATGGGCGGAGTAGTTATCAAAAATTCGATAAAATAACATAATATAATTGTCAGCCATATGATGCTCTTTGTAAACAGAGTTGTATTTTCGTCGAACATGCAAAGTGAATGAATAGCCAGCAATAATTGTACAGACATTTAAAAACAAGTTCCTTGTAAAAGCACACATTTTTTAATGTCTCGCAAATTTCTCTTCAGTCCCGTACGTGAGGAGGCACTTATCAAAGCTTCCTTAATAAAATGGATGCCGTAAATATCACAAATCAGATAATATAAAATAACTGGCGGGTCGAATGACTCAAAATCCTCATAATATATATGTTTTGAATTTTGTCGCACTGCTTAGCTTATTATAGAATCATCCACAATACTATCATCTCTAGTTCCTTAAAAACGACCTTTTAAGAGAGCTAATATATTAGTTTATCGGCTCCATGACAATTCTAGCGATTAGTAAATCAAATGCAAGTCTTTCCCTGCAACATTCAAAACGTCTTTCCAAGGATAGGTATCTCAAGATGTACCATTCTGCAGTGATGAAGAGTTCCCGTTTTCATTTTAAAGAGTTTAGTTTTTTCTGTCATCAACATTCTTTTTTTTTTAGATTTTAAGTGAAAATTTGAATTGACGGAATCTGAGAGGATGTATTTTTCCCCAGTGAGGAGGAACTAATCAATTCAATGAATCACTTTATGAAATTAAAGGCCGCACTTGAGTTCTATTATCATTTACTTTTGCTTACGTTTTTGGCATTCCTCCAGAATTCGAGATTTTAATGCGATCTGATCGCAGCATGCATTCGTCAAAATGCTCTCAGTTAAAATTGCTTTACAATTTGCAATAATATGGAAAGTGTGTATATGTATATATTGTTAAAAAATTGGAAATCGATGATAGCACATTGCTGGTCGCGCATTGGAAGTATTAACCAGTTTTGTCACTGAACTGAAATACTGTATTTTCCAAGAAATTCCACAAAAAAACCCTCAAAATCCCTTACTTCTATTCAAATTTATTAAAAACGGCAGCTTCAAAAATCACAATACGCTTACGTTACGTTACTGTGCTGTACTAACGCATTACGACGGCTATCATGTCCAAGTGAGTACTTGGTTCTCATTTCACAGTGAGTTGCCCACAAGCGAACTCTCAACCTGTGAAGGAAAAAAACAAACAGCTTCAAATCATATTAAATCATTGCCATTTAAACTGAAGACCCTCTCGGGCGACAACAACCACAACAATACCAAAAGAAAAATTGTGAAATATATTTTAATAAACCAACCATTTAGTAGTGGCATAATAAGTTGTTTGTTGTGAAATGTTTATGACGACAAAGTTGTGGGAGAGAGAGTAGTGTTGGTGCAAATCTTGATTGGTTTTGCTTGTTCGTCGATGACTCTGCTTGTGTACTACGTGTGAAATTTTTTTTCGGTTTGTGAAAGGAAAGAAAACGAGATAGTAATTGCAATTGAATACAAGAAATAGCAAACAATAAATATGGAAAATTTGGAAGACGATGCTCAGGAACTGACAACTGCAGCGCCAGCAGTTGTTGCAGCAGCAACAACAACAACCACACTAACACCACAATCCTCTGTAAACAATCAAGCAATAACTTCAACGGAATCCATTATCTATCATTTGCAACAGCAACAACAGCAGCAGCAGCAACAGCAACAACAAGATATCCAAACTGACGATTTGGATGAATCGGTTGTTGTGATTGAGCCACACATCGATGTTGTGGATTTAACTGAGGCACCCACAACCAGTGCAGGCACTGGGGGTAGTACTGCTATAGCCCTATTAAAACCTAAAATTGAAAATCCTTCATGTTCCAAGGGTAAGTGGAAAAATTAAAAGAGCAAGCCACAGGTTTGCATTTTCATTAGAGAGTTGTTGTTGTTTTGTGACGTATTGCTTTATTTCAGATGCCACCACCAACCTCTCCACCTCTTCGACAAATGAAAATCCTTCAACTTCAGGCTTAACGTCATCATCAGCGGATGCAGCGGCAGCAATGTCAGCTGCAATTGGCATTGCCATGGGGGCCAACAGCAACACAGCAACCACCAATCAATTGGAATGTCCTATTTGCCTTCAGACCTGCATACATCCGGCTCGTTTACCTTGTGGTCATATATTCTGTTTCTTGTGTGTCAAAGTGAGTGTTTCCCATTTTTGTTTGTTCTTTTCTTATGTTTAATTATTTCATATTAATTTTTGTTGTTGTTATTGTTGCTTGGCTATTAATTTTGTTTCTTTGTTTTGTTTTCTTTTATGGCCATAATGCGAGCGGCGTTCGGCGGCCACAGTTCGTGTTTTGCATTATCAATTTTTTTTTTGTTATTTACTTGGGATGATTATTTGTTTGCCTAGCTTTATTGATGTGTTGTTGCTTATTTCGATGGGTGATTGGCTTCCCAATATGTCCAAAAAAATAAAATCATAGCTCAAATTGTATGCGGAAAACTAAACAGACGACAGCACACTCTTTCGGGCTGACGTGCCTTTCTCAAATACAATTTAGTTTGAAGCGTTTATGGCGACTGAAGAATCTACCCAGTGACCTTCAATTGTTGTGAGTCTTTGTAAAACAACCAGAAGACAAATCTTTTATGGTTTTCTGGCGGTTTGAGCAGGGAATTCTAAACATGGATTTCTAAATAAAAACACAAACACACATACTCCAAGAATAGTTGAAGAGGAAATGAACATAAAACCGGCACGTGAACATCATTCCAACATGTGTCCGCCTATCTCCCTAATAACTCCTAGGCCCTTGGCAACATGTGTTTGAAAAAAAAATGTTTTTTTTTTTTCAATTACTTGAATTTATTTTCCCACCACCCCACCCTTTTTGGTTTTATAGGAAGTTCATGTGCTTGTCATTAAATACTGCGCCAAGCTGCACAATGTAAACCTCAAGTACATATCGTAAATGGCCAATATGCATTGTGCATTTTAATTGTCAATAATCAGAAGAAATATTCATCCAATTCTGCAAGCTTTAATGTATTTATAGCATTTTTTTAAGTGACAACTAGTTCGTTTCATTCATCACTTGCATATTTATGATGACTTAATTGATTCTGATTTACATGGATATTTTGAAGTAGACAAACGTGAACAAGAAGAAGAAGAATAACCAGAAGACATTGAAATGTTTAATGGATGGTCATTAAAATAGCAACGAATTGCAACGATCAAGGAGAGCTATAATTTCGAATTTTTAGGAATTTTTTTCTAAGGACAAAGAGAGATACAATCATGGATTTTCTAGGGATCAACCTAGACATGATCGTGATTTTTTGTGAGATAGCCTTAGATATCATTGACTCTACAAGAGATGATGTAAAATGATCCCAGATCGCATCTATTTAACAGTTGATGATGTCAAATTCCATTTACTCTAGAGTAAGTGACCACAGATGTTATCTACTCCAGAGTTGATGGTCGTAGATGTCATCTACTCTACAGTAGATGCCCACAGTTGGCATATACTCAACTGTAGATGGCCTTGGATGACATCTACTCTACAATAGATGGCCACAGAAGGCATCTACTCTACAGTAGAGGGCAACAGGTGGCATCTTCTCTACCGTAGATGGCCATAGATGGCATCTACTCTACAGTAGATAGCCACAGACGGCATCTACTCTACAGTAGATGGCCACAGATGGAATCTATTCTACAGTAGATGGCCATGGATAACATCTACTTTACAGTAGATGGCCACAGCTGGCATCTACTCTACGGTAGATAGGCCACAGATGACATCTACTCTACAGTAGATGGCATCTACTCTACCGTAGATGACCACAAATGGCATCTGCTCTATAGTAGATGACCCCAGATGGCATCTACTCTACAGTAGGTGACCACAGATGGCATCTACTCTACAGCAGACGGCCACAGATGGCATCTACCCTACAGTAGATGGCCACAGATGGCATCTACTCTACAGTAGATGGCCACAGATGGCACCTACTCTACAGTAGATGGTCTTAGATGGCATCTACTCTACAGTATATGGCCACAGATGGCATCTACTCTACAGTGGATAGCCACGGGTGGCATCTACTCTACCACAGATGGCATCTACTCTACAATAGATGACCACAGATGATATCTACTCTGCAGTTGATGACCGCAGATGGCATCTACTCTACAGTATATGGCCACAGATGGCATCTACTCTACAGTAGATGACCGCGAATGACATCTACTGTACAGTATATGGCCACAGATGGCATCTACTCTACAGTAGATGATCTCAAATGTCATCAACTTAATGGTAAATGACCTTAGATGCCATGTACTTTGCAGTAGGTGGCCTCAGATGCTCTCTGCCTTACAGTAGATGACCTCAAATGCTATCTACCTTACAGTAGATGACTTCAAACGCCATCTACCTTACAGTGGATGATTTCAAACGTCATCTAGCTTTCAGCAGATGGCCCCGAATCCAATTAACTTTACAGTAGATGACTCAAATATATCAACTACTCTTTTGTAAAAATTTAATTAAAAAAAAAAAAAAAAATCTACTACATTGTAGATGAACTCTGATGTTATCTACTACATTGTAGATGACCTCAGATTGTAGTAAATGGCCTCAGATATCAGTATGTATCCTCATGTGACATCTACTCTACAAAAATTGGCCTTGGATATAATCTACTCTAGAGTAGATGGCTTTATACATCATCTACAACGCTGTAGATGACCTCAGAAATCGTCTACTTTATCCCAGAAAACCACAGAAATGTTGCTTTTATTTTTTCTCAGATGAAACTGTTCCAAAGCAGCTAACCTTGGATAACAAGCATTCTCCCTCTTTGAGTCTCTATTCTTTGTTTCTATGGGCTTTTCCCTGTTAATTCGTTATAACATCATCCGTTTTTTCCTCCTTTCCAGGGTGTTGCGTACAAAAATCGCCGTTGTGCCATGTGTCGGCGAGAGATACCACCAGAATTTCTGGACCATCCACAACTTGTCAATGGCATTGAAGATATATGCAGTACCAAAGCCACCGATGATGGCTATCAGTGGTTCTATGAAGGACGCAATGGTAAGTCTTGCCTCAATTATTTCCCAATACCCTCACACACACACACTCTCTCAAAGTCTCCGAGAAAGCTAGTTTCTACTTGTTGTTGTTTTCCTTAGCTTGTAGTCGTTGTTGTTGTTTTCTGCAACACATTTTTCTTTTCTTTCGTTTCCATTTCTTTTGTTTTTTCCTTTTTTGTTTTCGTTCTAATGCCCACCTTCCTCCTACTACTCCTTCTGCAGGTGGCTGGTGGGCATACGACAAACGTAGCGCAATAGAAATTGAAGAAGTCTTTCAATTGTTGCAACAACCCAGGCCCGAAGAAATGCCTGTGAAAAAAGAAGAAGAAAAGGATGAAAACAAACAGGCCATGACAAAACAAGAAACAAATCAACAACAACAACAGCGAGGGCTAAATAATGACGAAGAACAAGAAGATTTTGAAAATGACTGCGACAATTATGGCAACGACGATGATGATGATGATGACGATGAAGACTATGAAGATAGCCTTTTGGCAAGTCAATCTCCCGCCACATTAATTGACTACAATAACTATACATACAAGATTCAGATATGTGGCAACATGTATATTTTGGATTTTGTCAATATGGTACAATATCCACAAGATATGCCCTCGCGCCGGCGGAAAATATGTCGTGCCAAAGGTTTGCCTGCCAAAGGAGTGGCGGGAATTTCAAATCTCTTGCCAAGAAGACAGCGTTATAGGCGTAGGCCTTATGATTATCGTTTAAATACACCATTTTAAGCATTGAAAGTCATTAACAAAAAATCTTTTCCAAATTCTAAAGTATTTCTAAAGAAAAGAAAATCTGTAAAAAATTCCGAACAGTATTTAAATACTCATTGGCCATTATGCGTACTTGCCATACAAAACTTTTTATTCAATAAATTATTACATTACTCTTCAAAAATAATTTGTTTCAATACCATCCCCTAACATTTCCCAAGTATATCTATCTATTCTCACAACTATCGTTTTCCATTTTCTTGCATTGTTTCTTTTCTTTTTTTGCGATTATCTTAGGTTGGTGGCAATATGATGACCGCACTAGCCAGGATCTCGAGGAGGCATTTAAAAAGGGAGAACGTTCCTGTACCATTCTGGTGGCTGGCTATGTTTACATTGTCGACTTTGATGCCATGATCCAGCAGCGACAAAATGAACCGGCCCGTTGCCGTCGTGTCAAACGTGATTTGGCCACAATACCCAAAAAAGGTGTAGCTGGTCTACGCATTGAGGGTAATACGGTAACAACAGATTCTAATTTTGCCCAGCAGGTCTATCGCCAGAGTCGGTAAGTTGAGATATAGAAAATGAAAATTTTGAACATTTTGTTTGAAAAATAAATCTCAGAAGTGGAATATTTGAAATGAAGAAGGGAGCGAAAGTCAAGCCAGAGCATGTCTACGAAACCGTCATCTACTTCTCAGTATACCTGAGGTCATATACTTCTCCGTAAATGACAACTGGAGCTATCTGCTTCTCCGTAGATGACACCAAAGGTCAGATACTGCTCAGGAGATGTCGCCTGAGGTCATCTACTGCTCAGTATGTAACGCCTGAGGCCATCTACTTCTCAGTATATGACATTTGAAGTCAACTACTGCTCAGTAGATATCGCCTGAGGTCATCTACTGCTCAGTAGATGCTGCTTGAGGTCATCTACTGCTCAGTAGATGCTGCTTGAGGTCATCTACTGCTCAGTAGGTACCGCTTGAGGTCATCTTCAGCTCAGTAAGTACCGCTGGAGGTCATCTACTGCTCAGTAGATGCTGCTTGTGGTCATCTACTGCTCAGTAGGTTCCGCTTGAGGTCATCTTCTGCTCAGTAGATGCTGCTTGTGGTCATCTACTACTCAGTACATATTGCCTGAAGCTATCTACTGCTTAATAGATCTACTGCTTAAGGTCATCTACTGCTCAGAAGATGATGCTTGAGGTCATTCACAGCTTATAAGATGATCCTTGAGGTCATCTACTGCTCAGTAGGTACCGCTTGAGGTCATCTACTTCTCAGTAGGTGCCGCTTCAGGACATCTACTGCTCAGTAGATGTCGCCTGGAGTTATCTACTGCTTAGTTGGTGTCGCTTGAGGTCTTCTACTGCTAAGTAGATGCTGCTTGAGGTCATCTACTGCTCAGTAGGTGCTGCTTGAGGTCATCTACTGCTCAGTAGATGCTGCTTGAGGTCATGTACGGCTTAGAAGATGCTGCTTGAGGTCTTCTACTGCTTAGTAGATGCCGCTTGAAGTCATCTACTGCTCAGTAGGTGCTGCTTAAGGTCATCTACTGCTCAGTAGGTGCTGCTTAAGGTCATCTACTACTCAGTAGGTGCCGCAACTGCTCAGTAGATATGGCTTGAGGTCATCTAATGCCCAGTAGATGCCATCTTTGGTCATATACTACTCAATAGATGACATCCGACGTCATCGTAGACGACACCTGGGCTCATCTTCTGTGCTGTAGTCAAAATCTGAGTCTTTAATGGCCATCCAAAGACTCTAGGGTTTTCGCTTTATTATCCTCAACTAATTTTGCCTTCCCTTCTATTTTCCAGATACCACAACGATGATCTGGATCTCCATGAAAACGCTTTAATGGGTGCCCACAGTATGGATCCCAACAATACACAGGGACCGCTACGCCTAACCTATGGTCTCGGTGGCTATGTTATTAATCCCAGTGAATTGGTATCCACGGCAGCTGCTACCGATGCTGCCTTACGGATAGCTAGTGATATTATAGGTTCGACACTGGCACATGCCGACGAGCTGACACGTTCCAATTCGACACCATCTTCCAGTTATTTGCAGCAGCAGCAGCAACAACATCAATCCACAGCCAACAACAGTTTTAATCCAACTACGGGTGAGCTTAATTTAAATGACTTAGCCTTAATGACAACTAGCAGTAGCAGCAGTGTAAACAATCCGCAATCACGAGGTGGTAGTCTCAGCACTGCGTCGCCAACGGCACTGCCTCGAGAGCGTGGCAGCAGGGAATTGCTGGGCGCTGCCGAAGATCTGCTGGGGGCGACACAAAGGATTATTGCCACAGCCGATCAGCCAACAATAGATTTATTTGAACAGACCCTTAACGATTTCCATGCATTGACTTTGCGCAACATTGTGGACTCGAGTGACGATGATGATGGTTTGCAACTGCAGCCGCCGCAGCCACAGCGCTATCACTCACAACGTCCGCCCTTGACACCACCACCCAGAACACCGCCAGCAAATCATGTCTCCTCTTCAATTTCTTCTAACAATGGCCAAAGATCAATGCCCTCGTCCACGTCCATGTCCACGTCGGGGTCGACGTCATCCTCCACCACCACCACCTCGTATTCATCAAATCTGCAACATCAACAATCCAACAATCATAACGATAATCAGCCATAAAACTAACTCTCAAAAAAATAGAAATAGAAACTTATGATACCACAACAACAACAGCAACAACTTAACCTAGAAACTTCAAGTATTCCTTACCAACAACAACTAAATAACAAAAAAACAAACAATATTATTTAAATAATAACAAATCGTAATAGACAAGTAAACACACATACATACACACAAAAAAAGAAAGAAAGAAATAAACATAAATGAAGACTAGACGTTCCTTAACTTACTAACAAAATACCATAACAAAACAGGATACAAAAATACAAAAACAAATTCTCTATATACATCAGTTATTATTACATTATATACATATATATATACATAAATTAACCAGACTTACCATATACATATACAAAAAAAAAAAAACAACAACAAACGATAACTAACGATTAGAAATCAAATCATCAAATCCGCAGCATCAAATGTTATAGTATTACAATAACAAAAAAAATACGAAAACCGAAAACAAAAACAAAACATATATGCCTATGTCACCACTTCTAATTCTAATATCCCGCTCAACAGCATTCATTCATTAGCCGGCTCTTTAAACTCCAAGTTTTCTTAAATTCTAAAACATTAACAATTTTCTTTTTTTTTATTCTAAGAAGAATTAAGCCAATTAATTATTAACCACAACAAATAATTGACATTTATTCATTATGTGTAAAAAACCATAACAATTGTATTTATTATTAATCTATTTTTTATTGCTAATTTTATGCTCAATTTATGTAAATATTTGGCCTGTTTCTGTGTGACGATGACGATTTGTACGTTTTTTTTTCAAATATCTGATATTACCCTTAGCCATATGACTAGAGGGGGTATATATATATCATTTGATAGGTCTCTTTGGACCAAATCCCTTTCATGACATTTGGAGTTGATCTTGCGATGTCCGCCTTGCTGTCTGTCTGGCTGGTTCGCACGATAACTCTCTAAGGGAGTATCCGATGTGATTCAAACTTGGTACATCGTAATATTATTGTCAAACTTAGATCGAGTTCGGAGATGGGCAATATCGGTCCACTCCTTCTGGTACCTCACACACAAAATGGCCAAATTTTCAAAGAAAATAATTTATTGCAAAGAAAGATAAAGAATAATCCGATTATGCTCCAACTTTGCGAATACTAATATTTGCATCAGTGCTATGTCAGGTGCGAAAATGGATAAGACCGGCCTACTCCATCAAGTACCTTCCCCACAAAGGGTAAACATTTTGAATATTATAGCTCGTATGAAGCGTGATGTAAGTGTACGATTGTTTGCAAATTACACGCATCAAGATATTTTTATTAACCCAAGGTCTGGTGTGAAGTTGGAATATATCGGTCCACTTCTTCTTGTACCTCCCCCACAAAGGATCAAAATTTTGAATATTCATGAAGCTCATAAAACACGAAATTATCCGAAAAATCCGATTCCATTCAAACTTTGAACATCTCAATATTTTTATCAACACAAGATCTGTTATAAAGATGGAAGAGATGGGACCATTTCTTCTGGTACCTTCCCCACATAGGGTTCAAGATTTTGAAAAACAAAATGCTCAAAAAGGATCGAAACGAAATAAGCATTCAACTCTCTTCAAATTTTTTACATGCAAACATTTTTGCTAATACAAGATCTGTTCTGAAGGGTATATATAACTGCGAACCCCTTTTGATGCTTCATCCACAAAGGGTCACAATTTCCAAGACTGTCAATTCTGCAAATCTTTACAACTTGCTATATATAAATACTTCTTTTAACCAGAAATCGGATATGAATATGTATTTTATCAAAATTTATGATTTCACATAAAATTGGAAATTAATATTCGATTGCCTTCAAATTTTTCACATGCCAATATTTTTATTGGTATTAGATAAATTTTGAAAATGGAATACTTCGGTCCGCTATATCTGTTAGCCCACGCATATTTCCACATTTTCCAAACAGTTGCACACATCTAATATGAAGTATAGGAAGTAGTAGATATTGTTCAAATCTGCACGTTGTAATATTTTTGTCAGTTTTAGGTCAAATACGAATTGGTCAATATTGTCCAACTGCTTCGAAACCTTCCCCCATAAAGGGTTAGCAGTTGGAATAATCACAATTCAAGGCTGGGGGTATTTATCTATCGGTAAAACCGACTGATTCTATTTTACTAGTTTTAATTTAAAAAAAAAAATGCCCATAGAATTGGTGTTTTTCTTTTGAATTCCATGGCGAATCGTCATGTAGAACCAGACCCTATTATCTGTATTTTGCTTTAATATGGTATTCATTTGTAATTAATTTTATATGTACTTAATTTGATTATTAATTATTCATTAATTAATTTATTATCTGCTTGAAATACCCTCCATGCAAAAAAGAAAATTTGAAGAACACTTCTATATGTTGGGAGACTCTTTAGATAGCCCCAACAAATTGTTGGAAATATTAGTTCTTAAAAAGTTCCCAAAGTTAAAAAAAAAAAATATTCTTACAAATACAATTTTTAAGTAGCTCAATAGTCCAGATATGAAATTACTATTCAGGAGCCCAAACATTATACAAATATCGTTTGAATGGGCTCTTTATGAAACATCCTTTTCTCAAAAGAATGCTTTTTGCGAAGAAAACGACATTTTAAAATGTCTACAAAAAATTAAAAAAAATTCTTTACAAACTACAACTACCCCTTTATAACCGAAACCTCGATTTAAATCCCTAACATTCTATAAAGAAAAATAGGTTGTAAAATTCCATCAGAAAGGCTTAAAGTCACTAGGAAAATTCACTTTTTATGGTCCCTAAAAGCCCTTAAAGGAAGCCTTGTTTTAAAACGCCTTCAGATGGCCAAAGAGTCCATAAATCTATACAGACTTTAAATCCTCCTTGGATGGCCTAAATCTCCTTAAAGAAGGCCTAAAAATCTTTGAAAAAATCAAGCTTTAGAAGGCCAAATTGTCCTTAAAGTAGCCTACCTTTAAGATCCGCTTCAAAAGGGCCGAAAGTTAAAACCCATTCAGAAAGCCCAAAATTCCCTAAAAAATCAGATTTTACAACCCCTTCGGATGGTCTAAATATCATTAAGGGAGGCTTTGTTTTGAAGACCTACAAGTTTTAAAAAATTCTATGTTTTAAAACAACTTCAAAAGACCACAACTTCAAAGAAAAGTTAAAATAAAAATCTGCTTTTTAAAGGCCTTTTAGAGTCTTCGTGAAGAAACCCACGCTTTGAAGACTTTGCAAAAGTTATATAATTCTCTTAATCAAGCCACTTTTTAAGGTCCCTCTAGAATACTTAAAAGTCCTTCCCTAAAGGAAGCCAGTTCCTCCAGTAGGATTTTTATTGCCTCCACCTTGAAAAGAAGGGTACATTAACATTCCGTTTGTAACATCCCTAAATATTCGTCGTAGACCTCATCAAGTATAGATATTTATAATCAGCATAAATTTCTAAGTGGATTTAACGATGTCCGTATGTCTGTCTGTATGTGGATATCACGATACAACAGCGCACATTATTTGACGAGGAGCTTCAAAATTTGGCAAAACAATTTGTATTGTGTCCAGGATGGTTGGTACTGAAAATGAGATATATCGGTCGACGTTTCGATATAGTCGCTATATAATGGTACCTCCCGATATTCGGTATTTTGATGATTTTTGCCACAAATTTTCCATGGATTTGTCTAAAAATTGGAATTTGTAGGTCATAATGGGTTCTAGCTTCGGTGGCGAAACATTGTATGTATAGGTCCACGTTTTTGTATAGCTCCCATATAACGATACCTCCCAATATTCGGTATTTCGATGATTTTTGCCACAAATTTTCCATGGATTTATCTAAAAGTTGGAATTTGTAGGTCATAATGGGTTCTAGCTTCAGTGGCGAAACATTGTATGTAAAGGTCCATGTTTTTGTATAGGTCCCATATAAGGGTAGCTCCCAATATTCGGTATTTCGATGATTTTCGGCACAAATTTTCCATGGATTTGTCTAAAAATTGGAATTTGTAGGTCATAATGGGTTCTAGCTTCGGTGGCGAAACATTGTATGTAAAGGTCCATGTTTTTGTATAGGTCCCATATAAGGGTAGCTCCCAATATTCGATATTTTGATGATTTTCGCCACAATTTTCCACGGATTTGTCTAGAAATTGGTATTTGTAGCTCATAAAGGGTTCCCAGCTCCGGTGGCAGAACATTGAATAATTCGGTCTACTTTTTCCTATAGCGCACATATAGTGATACCTACCGATATTTGGTATTTGATAATTCAATTCACTCGCGAATTGTTTCAAATTGTATATAAAAATATTTTTTTTACCCAAAGGTGGATGGTACTCTTAATGGAACCACGTTTTTAAAGCTCTTTAGGGAGCTCAAAATTCTTTGATGGAACTCACGTTTTACATCCTTTCACATGCGAAATAAAAATTGGTAAAAGATCCTGAAAAAAAAAATATATTTTTGGGAACCCATGTATAAAGCCCTAAAATGCTTAATTGGCATGCTTCTTAAAAATCTCAGAGTCATCTTAGGATGCCAAAAAAATTTTTTTGAAGGACCATCTGTATAAATATCAAAATTTAGGGTCTTCTATTTTTCAAAATACCAAAATTGGTCAAATAAATTTCAAAGTATTTTTTTTAATTTTTTTTCCATCCGAGTTTTTTGTAGGTGGAGGGTATTCGAATTGAAATAACTTAAAAATGTTGCTTTTTCCATTAAATAGCAATTTTAATACTTTTTTAAATTTACTAATTTATTCTAAAAAATGTATTTATTTATTAGGATAATTTTTTTATATTTTAAAATTTTTAATTTATTTTCTCATTTTACCATACCCCCACAACCCCAACATTTTAATAATGCCTTTTAAGCAATTTTATTTTATGTATTATATTATTATTATTATTATTATTATTATTATTATTATTATTATTATTATTATTATTATTTTCATTTAATTATTGCAAAGCTTTATTTTTTTTAAGAAAAAACAAACTGCATCTTTCATATCCCGCAATTTTCTCTTTTTCTTTTCCTTTCACAGTTTTCTTCCTCGACTACATTGACTCATACGACATTATTGAATCGGCTAAATATTCGCTTACTAAATATCTCTTTAAGCTGTACGAATTCTATAAAGCTTTAGTTCCACCACGAATTTAAGAAAAACAATCAATCAATCAATTATTTTAAGCTCACGAAACGACTGCTACTCTTCTACAAGAAAATCCTCCACCCTCCACATATTAAAAAAATTTGATTTACAAAAAAAATTCGTAAGTGAATTTCTATTTTTTTTTTTTTTGCTATTGGCTATACATCTTTCTAAATTGCAAATCCTTAACTTTCTCCCCTACTCCTCTCCCAAGGCTTTGGTTTTGCTGTGAAGTGCTTAAAAAAAATATTTCAAAAATTTTCTTTATTAACAATTTCTCCCCCGCCCCCACTTTTTTAAATAATTTTCTTGCTTTTCTTACTAATTTCATTGTTTGCATGGTGTAAAGAGGGCCTTTTGGAAAAATTTAGACATTTTTGAAAATATTATAAATTTAGAGAGGCCCTTGGAAGCCAGATTTCTGGTATATTTTTTTTATTAATGTGATATCTATTTATTTTTTTATTTATTTATCCGAAAATCGTTCATTTAATTCCATTTACTCTTCATTTTTGCTTGAAATCATTAAAATATCATAAAATAAGAGAGAAAGAGAGTTTTGTTACTAAAGAGTACCAAAATAAAAAAAAGAGAAATTTGAATGCTGCTCATCGGACAAAGAAAATATAACAGTAAACAAAATGTCCCCCCATAAAATGATCACTCTCTCTTCTCTCTTGACCCATAGGGAAAGACTCTCAACTCTCCATATTTTATAGATTTTGAAATTTCCTGGTTATTCTCCTCATTTCTGTTATGGGTGTGATATGGTGTTCACCGCTTCTCTTCTCCTTCCTCTCATATTCTCTTCTCTTTGGTCATTCTCATTTAGCTTCTAAGAGTGTATATTATTAGAATTTCTCTTCGCATTACATGATTTATTTATTTTTTAATTTTTATTTTTTTTTTTCGATTTTTTTTTAGTTTGGCTTTGTCTGTAATGTAAGAAAATGTTAGTTATTTAAGGATTATGCTTTTAAATTCTAAAGAAAATATATATATTTAAAGAAAATCGATCTACAGTGCGTAGCATTCAGTGATATTTTTATCAAAAAAAAGGAATGCTCTTGAAAAATTTAATTTCATAATTTGTTTTGGATTTATATTTTAAATATTAAAAAAAGAAAATAAACTAGAAAATCACAAAAATAAAGAGAAAAAAATTTAAAAAAAATACGAAAAAAAATTTAAAAAATGTGTTTTATTTGTTAAGACCTAGAAATTCAAGGAGGCTGGACCCCCACCTAATAGGAATGAAAATATCAATTTAACTTTGGGGTGTTCCTCAACAAGAAAGCAACATGAATGCGTGGATCCAGCTTAATAAATTGTGTTAAGATAATTTCTTTATAAAAACATAATACCCCTTGTCGAATATGAAACAAATAAAACGAGTTTTGAAGATTTCAGAGCCAAATTCGGGGAAATTTTGGTATGCTTATACAAAGAAACCTCAGGAATAATCACAATCATGTTAAATATTTTCTGTAAGGAATGATTACTGTCATATTAAATGGCTAAATATCGAATATTTAACACATAGCCTGATGTTTGCCGGTTTAGGACCCAAAAGTAGGGAATTTTGGGAATA